TCATATTCACCATAATATGGCTTGCTTTAGCCCAATGTGGATATGCATTTGTTTTCTGAGATACATCTGATACTAGTATGTTTCTTCTGTTTTTGGACTGACTTGTCTTCTTCATCTTACTTTGGGGTGCTCTTATGGGAAAACATTGTGTTGACATCCAAGTTGAGCTGTCATGATGCCTCAATTGCCATAAAACCTGTATTTGAACGTTTCCAATCAGTTGTTATAACTTCTGGGACACTCAGCCCAATTGATCTTTACCCTCGTCTTCTCAATTTCAATCCTGTATGTACTAGAAGTTTTAAAATGTCATTGACGAGGGATTGCATATGTCCTATGGTTCTCACACGGGGAAGGTAATCAATCAACCTTTAACTTTTCTTTTTATCAGCTTAATGTCCTAGAGTAGATGTGGTACTGCTTGTTTGATTTAAGCAAGTTCTGCACTTTTCCATTTCTCTATTTCCAGTGATCAGCTTCCTGTGAGTACAAAATATGATTTAAGAAGTGATCCTGGTGTTGAAAAAAATTATGGGAAGCTGTTGTTAGAAATGGCATCTGTTGTTCCAGATGGGATTGTCTGTTTCTTTGTGAGTTACTCTTATATGGATGGAATAGTCAATAGTTGGCACAACTCAGGTCTTCTAGAGGTATGAATCTACGTTCTGGTTTATTTTATTGCTTTTATTTAGATGAAATTTTCTCTGTTCCATTTTCATTACAATTTCTTTCCTTATTGCTTTTATAGTTCTTGGACTGTTTGGACTGCAGGGGTATGAATTCCTTTTAATTTTTTTTGATCTTGCTCGTTTGTCTTAGGGTCAGTTTTGGAATTGTATTTTGAAGGGCTTTGGAGGTTGCGTTTGTGTAAAAACTTAAGGAGACCAAATTATGCCATAATATAATATTACTATCATCCTTTATTTTCTTTTGGAGGCCATCCAAAGCCTCCCCCTCGAAAAATCCCATCCAAACAAATGCTTATCGCAATTTCATGCCACAGGGTATAATGAAACATAAACTGGTCTTCATTGAGACCCAAGATGTCGTAGAGACCACATTGGCTTTGGATAATTATCGTCGCGCTTGTGATTGCGGTAGAGGTGCTATTTTCTTCTCTGTGGCAAGGTAGATATTTTTAATATTTGAATTGTAATTGACCTCTATCGTATTTCTACCAGTTGCATTACCTCTAATCACTAACTATTACCGATAATCTTAATACTTCGTAATATCTATTAAAAGTGAGTATTGTTTGATATTTGTGTTAAGTTTGCTCCAATTATTTACAATTTAGCTGCAAATTTTATTAAGGGTAAGGAAATAGATTTTATCCCTACATAGAAAAAATGCAGCAATAGCTCGTCTTATTATGCCATTGTTTTACCCATCTCAGGGGGAAAGTAGCAGAAGGTATAGACTTTGATAGACACTATGGGAGGCTTGTGATCATGTTTGGTGTACCTTTCCAATACACACTAAGCAGGTATACCAAAAAATATATTTTCATCTGAAACATCACGCTTTGCTTGATTGCTTGCCACCTGCCTCTGACAAAGTTCCTAATTGCAGAATACTGCTAGCAAGACTGGAGTATCTAAGGGAGACTTTCCAGATTAAAGAGGGCGATTTTCTCACATTTGATGCTCTGGTACCCTTGGTTTATATTTGTAGCTCTGTGTGTGTGTGTGTGTGTGTCTAATATAGCTTCCACCCTTCAGAGGCAAGCTGCACAGTGTGTAGGCCGAGTTATTCGTTCAAAGGCAGATTATGGGATGATGATTTTTGCAGATAAGAGGTTTGTGAGCATTTGACTTCTTATATGCCAATCCAAACTCAACAAGTGATTTGCGCAGCAGTATGCCTTCATTCACTATTTCACTCTCAAATCGTAATTGATATTTGTGTACGGATGACCGATGCATTCAGGTATAGTCGGCATGACAAGCGATCTAAGTTGCCAGGATGGATACTAGCGCATTTACGTGATGCACACTTGAACTTAAGCACAGATATGGCCATTCATATAGCAAAGGAGGTACTGTACACAAATGCCGTTATTTACTCATTTTCTTTCTCCTAATGGAGCTTAATGATGAATATTTCCCAAAATTGCAAAAAAGAACTGACAGATTGGATATCCCCAATTTCCCATTCATAATGCAGTTCCTACGTAGAATGGGCCAGCCCTATGATAAAAGTGGAGCTCTGGGTAAAAAAACACTCTTATCACAAGAAGATTTGGAGAGGATGGTTACTGGGCCCGATGGAGAAATGCTGGGCTGATCATTGTTTCTGCAATTTTGTTTCTGTAAGCACTCTTTTTCCCCCCATTCGCTTCATTTTTTTTTTATAGTAATCTGTTTTTTATCTTTCATACACAGTATTTGGAGAAGAAAGCCGGTTTCTCCGATTGAATATTACTCCTATATGCCATGAAAATCATAATAGATGTTTACTAACTGGAAATGTTTTGTGTTTACAAAACTTGATGGTAGAAAGCAGAAAACATGTTTACTACTCCCTCCATCCCATAAAAAGAGTCATGTTTCTCACTTTGATTAGAGATATACTTATATAGGTATTTTTAGTGCTTTTTAAGAGAAGTACACTTGTCAACGTGGACTCTTTATGGACGAAGTATCTTTCCTTCGAAGTTTATAAAAACAAAAAAGAAAAAACAAAAAAAAACATGTTTACCTTGTCCAACAACCTAGTAGAATCCCACGAAAGTAGGGTATGGGGAGGGTGTGAAACTAGAGAGGCTGTTTCCATGAGACCCCATCTTGAGCAACACACACAGCGCACACACCACAACAAGTTACAAAATCGTTACCCGATTTTCCACCTTTTTTTTCTATAAAGTGGAAATTTAGATTTTGGCGTATGTGCATGATATACTTGGAAGAACATTATTCAACAGCCTTTTTTCATCAGATTTTGCAGGTTTACCTCTCTGCATGTTCGTGTGCTGTTTTAGAAGAGCCTTCTTTATGTGTTTCTCTGTTTTGGAATTTGGTCATGTATATCATTATATGTAGGTTTGTTGTTCAATTTTTGAGCCACTGTTTGCTCCTACTGTCACTATAAGAAGAGGCTTTGTTTGGAAATAGCTTTTTCAATTAGAGTTAATGTTTTAGATAATTTTTTTAAATGGAGTAGATTAACTTTGTAATACAATTTTTTAATGGAGTAGATTAGCTTTGCAAGACGCTAAATCTGGAAGCTATTGTTAGTTTGGCTTCTTAAAACGTTAAAGTTGAATGTTGGAATTGATGCATTGACTATTTCATGTTATCTCTTGCAGTTGTACTTAGTACTCCCTCCGTTTTTGTTTATATTGCCTCTTTCAGTTTACGATATTCGACCGAAATCATTTCAAATTATTGTGTATGGAAATGATGTAGAATTAAAAACATAAAATTTACATGTTAGAATACTACATCAAAAGATCTACTCCCTCCGTCCCATTTTATAACGCCTGTTTCGGTTTACGATGTTTGACTGAAGTTATTTTCAAATCATTTTATATGTCAAATGGTATAGAATTAAAAAATAAAAATTACATATCAAAATACTACATTAAAAGATCTACAAAACTAGTAGTGACAACAATATTTTATTTTATCAATTTGCTAACGAAAATAGAGAAAGAAAGTGAATGAAGTTTGACCCTGTGAATAGTGAACAGGCATTATAATTTGGGACGGAGGGAGTACAAAATTAGTGGTGACATGACTATATTGTTTTACCATATGACTAACGAAAATTAATAAAAAAAAAGTAAATAAAGTTTGACTCTATGAATAATAAATAAGTAATTTAATTTGTGACGGAAGGAAGACAAAATTATTGTAGCTTTATCAAATGCGAGTACGGCTTCTAGGTAAAGCTTGTTTTAAGAATGTAAAAATAACAATTGAATTTTATACTCTCCCAGTCCAAATTTAATTTGTTTGTTTTGATTTATGATGTTTGATTTAAGTTAATTTCAATGTAATTTACTAAAGATTAGAGTGGAATAAAAAAATAAATTTTAAATATTAAAAAGTTACACCAAAAGCTGCACAAAACAAAATGTGATATGATTATATTATTTTATCAAATGAATTATAAAAATAAAAAAAGAAAATGATTGAAATTTAATCTTGTACTGCCTCCGTTCCAAATTATAATGCATGTTCACTATTCACATGGTCAAACTTCATTCACTTTCTTTCTCTATTTTCGCTAGCAAATTGATAAAATAAAATATTGTTATCACTATTAGTTTTGTAGATCTTTTGATGTAATATTTTGATATGTAATTTTTATTTTTTAATTCTATACCATTTTTCATATAAAATGATTTGAAAATAACTTTAGTCAAACATCGTAATTCGAAACAGGCGTTATAAAATGGGACAGATGGAGTAACAAACAAATAACTTAATTTGGGATGAATTGGGCATTGAGAAAACCCACTAGATGCCACAAAAATGATAAAAAAATTTGCACAGAATTTGACTTTATGCCAATTTGTGTAAAATGATTCCGTCTTTTTAAGTTTGCACAAAATAACTTGGAGTTTTCTATATGTAGTTGCCATAATCATTTTTTTATACACTTTTTCACAATTAGATTTTTTTTTTGATATTTTGTCATGTTGATGTTAGTTGTAGGGTCAAAAGTATAATTTGGGATTAGCCCAATGCCTAGTGATATATTTTGACTTGACGGATAATACAACGATAATGACTATGACTATAAATTAAGATCTCGACCAAAATAACTTTTTTAGACTATAGTTGTAGTAAATAGCGATTCCAATTTACAAACGATATATCAACGACCTTTGACAATGATATGAAAAAAATATACTCGTATAATCATTGTAAAATTACATTTTTAGTCCTCAAAGAACTATCTTTATAAAAATATTCATAAAAAGATATCGAATGTATATTTAATACTAAAAAACTAAATATAGAAAAACATCTATCACAAAACCAAGAATCCAAGATTATAAAAGATTAATTATAAAATTTAAATCACAAACCTACTCTATATCATTTGCCATACCTACATAGCCGTTAGGGTTCGTTCATATAATCAGCATCTCAAAGAAGGTCAATTCACTCACCTTCTCACTCTAGCAGCTTCTCCTGCGACTATTTCTTCTCCAAAGTTCAGGTTTTTGAAATCTTCATCTTCTTATCTCTATTTCTTGGCGCGATTTCTTCTGCTGTAAGGCATTGTCCAATCGCTACTTCTCCATGGATCTAGCTTTTGATTTCTCTGTAATTCTTCTCAAATGATTTTATGGTGAATAAAATATCAAACTTTCCTGCATACGAGTTGTCTCCTTCATTCTTTTTGATTGATTTTCCAAGGTTATTTTGTCAAGGGTTTTCTAAAAAAAATGATTAGCATAATAGCATGTTGTTTGCTTCTGGTGTAAAGAAACGCCAAACGGCCCTAAATCTCAGTAATAACAGCGGAAAATTGGGATTCTCAATTGTTTGGGAACTTTAGATTGTGGGTATTTCCTAAGAATCTTACCCCTTGTGAACTTATTAGGTCTTTGTAACACATTCTTAGTTTGAATTCTCTATTGCTTTACTCTTAGGATTGCTTTCACTTCCCCTCTCAGTTACAGTGCGTTTGGATTGAGGGGAATTAGGGGAAGGGGAGGTGGATTAAGGGAGAGGAGTGGATTTTTCTTTGTTTGTTTTGGGAGTAAATGAGGGGTGAGGGATTTCAAGGGATGATCCTTCCAAATTCTTTATTTTCAATCCCTCCAATATGGGGTAAAATGGTGGGAAGGGAGAATGGTCCCTTCATAAAACTTCTAAACCGATCAAGAAATCATTCTCTTCCTACCTCTCCTTTATGCTACTCTCCCATCCCTTTATTAGAAACACAATGTTAGGGTTACTTTGATTGTAATAGGACTCTATTTGATGATTTTTTTATGTTATCCTGGCTTAGTTTTATCAATTTTATGACTATTTAAATTCTGTTGTTTGCCTTAAAAAAACCTGTTGTTGCTTTAAAATTGCATCACATTTTTTAAATCTAGTGGCACACTGTCACATTTTGTGGTAAAGCAACGCTTGGATCAGTCCTTTTGCATTTAAGAAAATTCTCACTTGTTTCTTTTGTGCGCTTCTCGCTTTAAAAAAAATTTCACCCCATTGATTGACCAACCCTATACTGAAATATATAGGAGTTTGAACCCTCATCACCAGAAGGTTTCTGTGAATATATTGGCCCATAACTTACTTGAGAAAATTCTGAATGATCTTTTAGAGTGCATTTGGTTTAGATTCTTGCAGACTCTGCCATTTCTGATTCTTAAAATCAGCTAGAATCAGTTGGTCTTGTATTTGTCTACGATTTTGTCTAGAATTTGATTTTAGAAAGAAATAACCAACTGTGTGATTCTTCAGAAACAACAAAAGAATTAGACAACTGATTTCATGATTCAGAATCGGTCAAGAGAAGAATCTAAACCAAATACATTAAGTTTATACTGTATATTTTAAAAATAATTCTTTCTGTAATGTAATCCGTATGTATTTAGGTATATGCTTTCATTCTGTTCTCTACTAATCCGTGTTTCTGAAGGTTTCATCATCATATTTCAGGCCTTTAAGGTTTTCATTTGCTGTTCGATACGGTTGTGTTAAGTATGGAACACACAGATCATGAAAGTAGAGAACATGGTAATATGGATATGAAAGATCATAACATCCTGTTTCCTATATCATCACAAAAGAGTGGAATGGCTAAGGGCGAACATCTAGGGACAAGTTTTGCATCTTCAACACCAGAGAAAATGACCGAGTTGTCTCGCGTTAACCACAGAAAGGACGTTTCTGAACTTCCTGAGAAGTATGTTTTTTTTACCCTTGAGAAGTATGGTGCTTATGAATTTCTCTTTTTTTGTTTGTTATTACATGAATAACCATGACTGAATGTAGAGGTGTTTCTTTGAATCTACTCAGTTTCAGGGTCTTGTTGAATTTATTTGATCGCATGGTGTGTTCCCTGAGATTGCTTAGTCTGCGTAAAAAGCCAACTACTTTTAAACACATTTCCACTCAAGTAGAAGTCCAAACTGGAAGGTAGCTTTATTGCTCTCTTTTCTTATTCCCCATATACCTAAAACAGGAGTAGTAAATTACGGAATAAATATTTTCCTTTTTTTTGTAAAAAACTTCGAAGGCCTTTCATTTTGAATGTTATTGAGTAATTTACTTAGGAAAGTTTAGACTGGTGCTCATTAATCTTTTCTTGAACAAACTTAAGACAGTTTTTTCTTTCTCACTTGATATGGTGATGATCTTTCTTTTAAATATGTTGTTATCAGAAAGTTTCTCTATGGGGACCTTGCAAAAATAATTTACATACTTCCTGAAGTGGTTCATATTGATAAAGTACGCATGCATGACGAGAAGACATGTTGCATGAAGCCTGATCTCAAAGTTACACTGCATGCTGATGCTTTGGAAGACGACCGTGAACAATCAGTATTTATCCATGTCAGCAATGTTTTCCGGGCGAAGCTCATTGACTTATTTGTTAAACACCCTGAGGTAATTATTTTGCACATTATATTTTTTCCTTTTTCAATGAGTTTTTCCCCTAAACCTTTTGTTTTTCATCAAACCAGGTGAGTGACATTCCGGAAGCTATACTTCCTGAGCCATTAATGGGAAGCGTTCTCACAGTGCAACCAGATTCAGGCTCCTTGCCAGTCTCTGCTGTGTTACCCCCACATGAAACAACAAAGCTATTGGAGTCATCCCATCTTGCCCCGTCTTTCAGTTCACACTTCTCTGTCAAGGCTGCTGTTCCGGAAGAAAAGAAAACCCAACTTTTAGTCTCTTCCGCCTGTTCAGTTATTGATGGTGATGATGAGTCGTCTAACAAAACTGGAAGTGAACTTTTAGTTTCTCCCAAAAGCCGTACACTCAAAGACTCTGTCCAAGAACCACCTCCTGCTGGTAGCTCCAAAGTGTGTGAAGTCACTCCTATGAAGCTTACTTCAGAAAGTCTCAGTAATAGTGTATCGCTTGAAACACCCGTGCAGTCTACACCAAGGAGATCGGTATCTGCTGCTACTGGGGATGAGAAGCTCAAGAAAGTGATCACCAAAAGTGCTTTGGCGGGGTCCAATCTTACTGCGAAAAGATCACTCATGGGTGATTTAGAATGGGGTGAAACCACAAAATCTATCTTCCCTGAAAAAGAAGAAATCAAGGGTACCGTTCCTAGTGGCAATGTCACAGCCAGAGTACATCCTTCTTCTGAGGTACCTTCCATAATAAGTTAATATTTTTTCCTTATATATTTTGCAGATTGTACTAGCTTTTGGGGGTTGAGTCCCTGATATTATCTGGCTATCATCAGCTCTGAATTTTTCTTTTTATTTACACTTGAATGATATTTTTATCAAAATGATCTATACAAAAAGAGTCATGCTTCATGCACCTCTTCCCATTTAATTTATATGTATGAATAACTCTTAGGAACATAAATGTTGCAAAGCGAACTTTTTTTTCCACCGTTCTGTATATTCTTCTACTTTCGTGGCATGCCAACAATGTGCTTTGGTGTCTTACAGGTTGAGGAAAGTGTTCTCCTTTCTGGCAAGGACGAGAGATGCCTGCCTCTGCACCAGCAAAGATACATTGGTTTGCCCAAACTTGCGCGCTTGATCCACAACATTTTCAAGTCTGTTGGCCGCTTTTCAATGACAAAAGAAGAACTCTTTCACAAGATCATAATGGCCGATTGTGACATAGACGACAACAGTATGTCAAAAAGCTGCTTTTATTTGTTTTAGTTAAATTTTCCCTAAACAACTAATGGTTCTTTAATTGCTCTTCTCCTTTGAGCAAAGACCGTTTGTGATAAAGTACATCCCTATTAAAATCTGTGAAATTATTGACTTCGATCTCAGGTGACGTCGAAACACAGCTAGCTCTTCTTGAGAAACTTGTTCCAGATTGGATTTGCAAGAAGAATGAGCCAAGTGGAGGCCTTTTGTACAGGTTTGGATGTTTCTCTTACTCCCAATGGTTTCATGACTTCATCTCTAAAACCCAATAATGGATTTTTCTTTTAATCTAGGTGTATTTAGTACAAACCTTTACCAATATACATACATGCTTAGGTTGATTAAACGAGGATTAAAAATAGCATTTATACGAACATACTTTGCCAGCGAGCCGAATCAAACCCTCCATCCATAAAGACCAACCCCAAGAGAGATTAAATCAAGCCGTTGTGAACTCCATGATGCGTGTTTGCAGCATCTAACGTTCCAACACATTGACGGTATTTGCTGATTCTTTTTTCTTTGAAATATTCACGCAGTCTAAAGGGTGTCTCGGACTTGGATTCGGTTTGTGAAAAGCTGCTGATCAGCTCATGACAAATACTCCTCCTCAAGGTTACATCGACATGCGTTACATTATCTCTTTTTTTTAAAAAAATTTACGTTCATCGCATGTCAAAATTCAGTATTTAACTTGTACAAATTACAATGATGCAAATATAAATTCATCTCAACTCTATACTATCCATTTGAGATATTATTTATATATTTTTAATATAATACCTTCTCTGTTGGTATTTAATTGGCTACTTACCATATTGAGTAAACAAATTTATTGAGATTCATCAAAATACTCCCACAAGCATATGATATAGAATGTTTCATAGCTAAGATTGACGAGGAATTATACGATTTATTGCTTTCTTCACTTCCATAATACTTGCCCTCCCGCCTCTTGAATTCTCTTTTATCTGAAAATATGCATAATATATTCAAAATTTAAAAAAAAATAATATATTGCAACAGTGTATATATGTAATGTGTGGGGAGAGTACCTTAGCTCTCAATTCTGCAAAAAGGATCCTACCATTGATAGAAGATTGGACGGCCGTGATCTCAAGCCCAAGCTCCCCAAGTATCTTCATCACCTCCAGTAGTAAACCCTTCCTGTAGCTGCACCTCAACTCCACCAGCCCATCCCTCTCGATTATAGAAACCTCCACCGCCCCTGCCCTCATCCCCGCATCATCCCCACGCCCGGTCTCGATCTTGTGGACCCCACCTCTCTGGACACATGGGATTGATAGTCTATCAATCCCAACGTGGGCCCCATCTTTTTCTGGGATTGGCTGACTGCCAATCCCAAAGCGGAGGACCCCACTTATATGGGCATGATGGATTGACCGCTGGTCAATCCTATTGTAGTGGACCCCGCTTGTCCGGGCAGACGGGATTGAGCGGCGGTCAACTCCAGAGCGGACATTTTCCGCCATCGACTCCAGCTCCTGCACTCTCTCGTGCAGGTGTTTGACGTAGTTGATGGTGTCTCCGAGGACAGAGGCTTTGTCCGTCTTCGTGACGAAAGGCACGAGGGACCGGAGGACGACGAACCGCTCGTTGAGCTTCTCTCTCCGGCGTCGCTCCGCGAGGACGTGGTTGGCATTGGGCTCTTCTTGGGCCGCGGATGGTCCGCAGATCTCGGGTGGCCCTGCCCGGTTTGATGAGTTCTTTGCATGCAGCAGCGGAACGGTGAGAAGGATGTATTTGAGTGACCATTGGATGGATCGGCACTCGAAATGGACGGAGGTGGGGATCGAGCGCGGGCGCCACTTTGAGAATGCGGAGGTGGCTGAAATGACGGTGAAGACCCCCCTGGCCGTGGTGGTTGAGATTTCCGGTGGTTGATGCCGTCCGAGGATGGTTGAGATTGTTGTTTCGAAGTAGCGCATATTGTCTTGTTGCGCAATTTCCTGCACCGGAGGGGCTTCTGTGCAAATACATTGAAAGACGTCTGAAGTCAAAACAAGAATAAAGATATACTCCATCCGTCCCTAAATAAACTTCCTCTCTCGTTTTTTTTTTGTCCCCAAATAAACTTCTCTTTTCCCTTAAAAACCTCTTTTACACCTTACTTTTTCATATCCTATCTATTACATCATACTTTTTTACTAATAATCTACCTATCACATCTTATTTTTACACATCACATCAAAGATATTTTTAGAAAGTCAATACAAAAATATCTCTTCCTTAAATCCTCAAAAAGTCAAAAATGGAAGTTTATTTAGGGACGGAGGGAGTATACCGAAGGCAGTATATACTTCTGCCGTCTATGAGTATTTGTCCACTTTTGACTTTTTCGATCAAAATTGGTAAACTTTGACTTCAAATTGAATAAAAATGATATTAGATATTGATACAAAAATAGTTTTATTAGATTTATTATATCAAATATTTTCAAAATATCATTTTATCTAATTATTATACAATATTTATTTCATTTAATTATAGGTCAAAAGTGGAACACGATTGACCGAAAAAAGTCAAAACTTGACAAAATGTACCTTGATTAGTTAAGAAAGAAGGGTGTTGGTGCAAATGAAAGTGTGAATCTAAATCAGTGGAGGCGGCATCATCGTCCGGTGATCCGAGTCTTATACTCCCAGACATTTCAAACTGCATCAGCTCTCCGGCCGCCAGCATGTCATTTGTTTCACGGGCGGCGGCTTGATTCGTTTGGACCTCCACACCCGCACCGTTATTACGTGTGGTCGAAACGTTGTTGTTGTTGTTGTTTCTGTTATCTTCTTCCTCTTCATCATCGTATTCATCGTAATCATGACCATCCTCACCATCGATGTCGTCTTCGTCGGCATGGACATTGTAATGGGAGTAGGGTGGCACTACGGCGGCGGGAGAGTAGAGCAGAGGCGGCTCCGATGAGGAGTGCTCAGATAAGGCCGGCCTTATTGAATGATGATGATGATTATGATGATTAGGCTTCGTAAAATGGGTCTTCATATATTGGATGAATTCGTAATCTTCTTCAACCTTTATAATTTTGCAACAAGGAAATATTATTTGCAGTTTAATTAGCACACAATTACTAATTCACTTCATTATTAGCAAACTAAACATATAAAGATAAAATATCTGCTTGTTTTAGATAAAATTAACGTTAAAATTAAAAGTAATGACTATTTTATTATTGTTAAATAAATTTTTCAAAATACTAAAGTTTGTATGAATATGGAAATTATTACCCTTTCAGTCGTTCCCAATTCAACCACGCCGTTCAATATGGGAATGCAAACCACAGTCTGCACAAACAAAAATTAACTACTACTCAATAATTATTATTTGGCCTTGTATCTTCAGCAGAATTACTCACTTCATTCGTCTCAGTATATTCCTCCAATTTAACTTCTTTTAGTTGAATTTGATGAATTTTAAATATCAATTAATTAAATCTAATTAAATCATTTACATTATCGTTTTTTATTTAATTGAGATTTGAAGTTCGTCTAATTTGAATAGAAAAAATCAAACTAAAAGAATACAGTGAGAGATCAGTAATATATATGCTGAATACATAATTTATTTTTAATTATTACCTGCATTTGAGCACTCTTACGCACGGATATGATTGGATGGAGGGGAGTAGCATTTTGCATGGCGCAACATACGTACGAAAATATAGACAAAATTATTAGTAAAAAAACTCCGTACATATATTCATTCAAACAAGTGTAAGGAATAAGGATCCACTAAATAATTACTTTGAGGCAGGTTTCCCTTAGTAATTAATGAATCCACATCCTAAATCTAATTACAATTAAACAAATAATCCTTATGAAATTCATTTAGAGTATCTATAATTCATTATTTAGAAATACTTCCTATTTCAATAATTAAAGACTTCAATAGTTATTCGCGTACACATAAACATTACCCGATGACATTGAACCATAAAAAACTTTATTCAAAAAATTGAATCTATACCCTTCCTAACCCGGCGGTAAACTCTCCCACCCTACCCGACCTCAAACCCACCCTCATCCCGTCAATTAAACCACCCAAGTTTCGTTGATTTTAAAGTCAAAAAATTGACCCCAATATCAAGTAAACTTGATTGTTCATGTATATTGAATGGGGGATGGGTTTGAGGGGTCACACTGAGCTGAGAGATTTACCGGGCATTAGAAATGACAAGAACCATTAATTTTTTTAAATTATAGAGGTCCCAAATGACCAATGCATCTCATGACACTGGCTTCCAATGTCGGAACCCTCCGATCCGTTCAAACAATTATACTTCCTCCATCCCACAAAGTTTTACACATTTTGACTAAAGTGCAAATTAAAGGAGGGATAATTTTGTGTTGACTTTCCAAAAATAACCTTGATTTGATGTGTAAAAGTAGGATGTGATGTGTAGATTATAAGAAAAAAGGTATGATGTGATAGGTAGGGTTTGAAAAAGTAAGGGGTAAAAGTGGTTTTTTAATAGAAATGGGTAGGAGATTGTGGGACGCAATTTTTTTGAAAGGTATAAATCTTTTTGAGACGGAGGGAGTATATTCTACTCTGTAAATATTTTTGAACATATATCGATCACTAGCTAGATACCAAGCTTTTGGTTTAGCGTGTTAAGGGTATAATGTGTTGGTTCCATAGTGTTGGCTAATCTTTTGGCAAAATAGAATCCCATATTTGTTAGGTGTTTTACTAGGTAGAAACCTCTATTTGTTAGGAGAGGTTTATTTTATTTAGACTTCTAGAGCTGCTGCAGTTTTCGAGGTTGACGCAGAAGATGCTACAGCACGATGCTGCAACACATAGTTCGGGATCAGAGGTCTGAGCACGGGATTTTAAGCTGCAATCTGATATAGAGACCTATTGGGACTGAGATTACATGATAATAACTCCAGCTGTGCATGCTAAGGAATCCCAACTCTTTAGGCTACTTGTGGATCAAGATTAAGGAAGTAGAGTTCAAGCCAACTTCTACTATCCTATTCCTACTAGGATTGTGTTGAGAGAAGCCTATAAAAACGCAGCAGGTCCCTGGGAATTACTTGGAGCGATTGAAAGGGAAAATAGAGAATATACGCTGATGTAGAGCGTTCCCGTCGCGTCCCGGAGCTTCCCTTGCGTGAAGAAGGTTACGATCTACATGAAGGAGGAGATCTTCAACGCCAAACAGATCGTGACAACCAGGAGATGAACCAGAGCTTAAGGAGAGGGCTGCCAACACGTTTGTCCTCGTGATCTCGGTGGAGATGTGATAGCCGAAGCGGATCTGAACAGAGTTCGGGTTAGAAATCCTAGATTAGAAGTTTTGTCATAGCAATTCGGAGAAGGTGTCTCATCATGTTGTTATGTACCGGTGTAACTTGCATCTAGTGATTTAGTGGAGGGCTATTACACGGACGTGGGCCCCGCAGATTAGGAGAGTTTCTCCGAACTGCGTAAACATATCTGGTGTCATTTTTTACGCTTTTTACAGTCACAGCATTCTGCCCAGTAGGCGCTGTAACGCTCTCTGCGTCATCTGCTTCTGTGTGTGCTTGTGACAGAGAAGTGCTATAGCAGACTGTCCGTCATCTGTTACTGGACAGAGCTGCAGCGTCTTCTCTGCAGCATGGCTGGTTGATTTGTTTGCATATTTCTTAATTGGTGATTTCCGCTGCGCCCCCACGAACTTTCATAATGTTGGATGGACTTCAAATCCAACAGTATACTCGTAGTAATTAAGTGAACAAACTTTCGCAGCATATCTAATGAATTTATATTATTTTATGAAATTAGTAACTAGAATAGATGAAGAAATAGGGTAATTAATTAAGACTACAAGTGCATAATTAATTAATGCTGGAACATCTTAATTAGGGAATACATGGATCTATATATCAATTCTACTACATACATACCTTGGCTAGAATTGCTCTGGAAAAAACATTGCTATGGACTTCATTTGCACCTGTGAGCCATATATGTTGCTGCATTGCATATGCCTTCCCTGGTAATCTATATCATATTTATATTTAGAAATATTTGCACTAAATAGCACTAAAACTTAAGTCATATTTCTAAATAGTACTTAAATTGTTTTATTTCCTAAATAACACTTAATAATGTCCATAATGTCCAGTGATGACAAATATTTACTTAAATAATGACTAATGCATAATGACTAAAAGTGCTACATTGGGAAGAATAACACACGTGGTGCTATTTAGGAAAAGTCATTATGTTTTAGTGTTATTTAAGTAAATTCCTCTTATATTTATTTATTTTAAGTCTATTATTGAACCACTAATAAATTAAGTGAGATCAGATCAAACTTACTTTCATTTACATCCTGATTAAATTATATTTTAGCCCTACCTACCTACCTACTTTAGAGTATATGTATGTGTGTGTCGTCTATATATATAACTCTAAAGTCAACTTAATTTGGAGGATGTAATTGAAGAGGGTGTGGTGGTAGGTTCAGAGCGGGGCGGGTGGGAGGTTTCCTGGGGTTAGGAGGGGTAAGAATCGTCAATTTTACGAACGGAGAATCGTACGACTCGCGAGTCATCCCATGACATTGCTTAGCATTGTCAAAGGAACGAGGAGGTATATAACTAGACTGCAACCTCTTTGTTGTGGCATTAATATTTATTTCACAAACCAACCCCCAGTCCCCCCTCACTTAATGTTTAATCTCATCTCAGGCAGAAAAAAAACTTTGAAAAAAAATCCCTAAAATGGGTAGATTTTGTTTTAATTCTGATTCTTGACCTTACTTTATAATAGAGTAGGATGCGATGTTAAGATAGATGAGTCATAACTAGATAATAATACCAAAATTACTCATTTTAAGACGCATTTTTTTTCAAATAAGAAGGGTTTTATGGGATATACGAATCATAATGATGAGTAGGAAACTTAATTGAAAATAAACTCTCTGTGAATTTATTTTTGGACACGTGTCCATACGTACTTACCCATAACCAGGTGGGAAAGAGAAGGACATGCACATGAGGTAGAACCACTCCGACTCCGTCAAGTCCTCCGGCGACAATGCAGCCGAGGGACGCCGCACCACCGCCGGCACCACCTGCTGGCCGCCGTTGGAATACTCACCGGCGGCTGCCGAGAGAGATTCGTAAAGCTCCCGAATCAAACCGCTTCTGTGGAGCGACGCGTCATCGGCGGCACTTACTTCCGTGGAGTCGGCGGCGGCGGCCAGCACCGTCTTCCTCGTCTTTATTGATCCGTTGTAGTACCCATCTCTCCACACCAACACCCTGCGTTACAACGGTTTCACTTCCCCGTAATTTCAGAAAAGTCGTTGTAAAAAGTCAAACAGTACAAATATACTTAATAGAGATAGTGTTGTAAGAGAGTATAAATATATAATGACAAATAGGTACCTTTGTTGAGGGCAAAGTTGCCAGAAGAGACTGTAAGTCCACTGAACAGAGAGAAGTGCAGTTTGTAACAAGGTTTGAAGTGATGGAGGTGATGAACTATGCATGATGGAGAACTGATGAACTGCACTTTGTATGTTAACAAGATCATTAGCTAGCTAGGCTAATTATATTAATTTAGAGAAGATAGGTAGATTATATTGATTGATATTTGGTGGGAAGTTAAATTAATAAATGCTATTTTGGGAGAGGAGAAAATACACATGTAGGCTCCTAAAAGGTTTTATATTTTAACATGTTATTTCACGTGCATACGAGACTTGTTTTTGCCTTGAGCAGGAAAATTAAATGTTTTAAAACTGAGTGACGATGTGGTTAGAAGTCGTAACCTCCTGATCAACAATGCTATATGATATAATATGTCAAAAATTAATTCAATTAAAAGCTCGAGTTTGTAGTTGTAGATTAGGAGAATTGAAGTTTCATGCTCTAACATCTCCAGCTTTAAAACTATTTTGCTTTTTTAGATATTTAAAATTAATTTACACTGTACTTTTTAATATATTCTCTCGTTACATTGATCATTTCTTTGTCAAAAAAATTTCAACCGTGATCTTTTTATTTTACACCAATGTTTTAGTATATTTTAAATTTTTGTGAGGTAAATCTTTGAGGTTCTTTCAAAGGCGGTAGAATCATGTTAAAATAAGTTTAGTTTGATGAGATGATTGACTGGTTGGTGGTATCCACCGGTCAGATGGGTAATTAAGAAAGTTAGAATGATTAACTATACTCTCCATTGAGAAATAAAGTTTAGGTTTATTATTTGCCTTATTTAGACTCTATTTGTTTTGTGGTAGATATAGAATTAGATGTTACAAGAAATTAGGAGTTGAAATAAAACAATATATTTATGGATATCTTAATTTAGAAATCATCATAAATAGAATTAAAACATAGAGAAAAGTACCAAAATAGGACTTTCATACTTTTTTCCCCGGAATAGGACTTTGCATTGTGGTAATGTGACTTTGCATTGTGGTAATGTGGCAGTGTACATGTGCAAATTACTATACTTTTTTGGTAATGTATATGACCATGTTTGGTAATGTAAGTCCTATTTTGGGAATAAAAGCATGAAAGTCCTATTTTGGTATATTTTCAATGTTTTAGTCCTACTTTGGTCTTTCTCCCATCTTAATTTTAAGAAAAATGGATATAAATAATCTGCTTCGACCAAATAAAAATAATTCTATACTACATCGCATTTTATATAATCAGATCAGATCGGATCAGATCAAATCCGATAAAATCAGATCAGATAAAAACAATTTTAATCATAACTGTAATCACTAATCATATCAACTTAGAACATATTAGACTAGATCAGATCAGACCAGATTAGATCAGATAAACGGAACGCAGCCTAATCCGATGACAAAATGGAAGAGTTAGGTGGACAAATTAAAAGAGGACATGAAAGTAAACAGGTAAGGTACATTTGGTAGTGGCAAAGTAGACATGAAACGACACAATTAGCGCATGCACCAAGTTAAACTCCTAATTAATCAATCTTTTTGTGCGGTATTTACATTTCCAATGATTTAATTGCACATTTCATAGTACGTACAAATACCTAGTAGTACTACAAATAGGTAATGGCTAGGTTTCCAAAATAACGTTTGAACAAGCTAAGACGCACGCACGGCATGCAGGCAATATGATTCACAATGTTTTGTCGCCCATATATATCACTCTGTTCCATAAAACTCTTCCGCCCAAATTTTTTGTGCACCTCATTAAACGCTTTTACTCCCACCTAAAATATCTAAAATATATCTCACTATATAATTTATTACGGATAGAAGTTGTTTTAGGTGTATTTTTGACATTTTAGGAGGGATAAAAGTATTTTATGGGCTGTGCAAAAAATTAAAACGGAAGTTTTTGTGGAACAGAGGGAGTAACAAATTACAAACAAAAATGCTATGAACCCGTCACCAGTACCTCCACGAATGATAATCATAATAGATTTATGATACAAAGATAATAATCATTTGTAAGCAGATCTGTTTATCGTCTCTTAGTTTGTTTATACAAATTATCTGTTAATATCATCTGTGGTAGTATTGGCGATGGGTTCATAGCTGCTTCCTAGCATGCTCCAATAAGAAAAATCTACTTATATTCTATTTAATGGGCATGTGAAATGTGCAGTGAATAAGACTAAAACATAAGTCATTTCTCAATGTATGACTTAAATTTTTTTATTCCTTAAATACGATTTAATAATGTCTAGTGAGAAGAATAATGTCTAAGTGATGCAGGACATTTAGTTAAATAATGACTTATAAATAATGACCAATGGTCCTACATTAGAAAATTAAAACATATGGTCCTATATTATGAAAGTTATTATATACGGAGTATATATGTTTTAGTTTTATTTAAGTAAATTACCTGTAATGTATCCCAAGGGTTTGTAACGACACTCTAATTATAATGACACACACTATCACAAAATATTCCTTATGTCCCGGAATCTTTATCTATTTTTGACTTTTTTTCGTCAATATTGATAAGTGTTGACCCTAAATTAAATAAAAATGGTATTAGATATTGATAGAAAATAATTTTATTAGATTTATTATATAAATTATTACTCCGTATTTTATTTAATTAATATACAGTATACATTTTATTTAATTATAGGTTAAATGTTAAAAATAATTGACTAAAAAAATTTTTAAACTAGACCAATACTCCACTTCAAGATGGATGTACTCCCTCCGTCCCTGAGTGTTTGTCCACTTTCATTTTTGCACACCATCCAATGCACTTCTTTAATCCATTTTATCTTGTAATTTGTATCTTAAAAAATTATAAAAATTATATATTAATAATATATATGTTAAGACGAATCAAACAAGATCATACATGACTATTTTTAGGCTTACACATTGAGAGAATTTGATGAGTCAAAGTGCTTAATTGAACAGTTCCAAAAGTCAAAAGTAGACAAACACTCAGGGATGGACCAAGTAGTATATTACTCCGTAGTATATATTTATAAAGAAAGTATGAATATAGACATAAATTGAGAGAGTAAAACTAAGAATGCGCCAAGAATATGAGGGCAATGGTAGGGTGCATGTGAGACCGGCCGGTCGGGTTTCGAACTGAACCAGAACCAGTTAGTGCTCCACTACGTACTTTCGTTGCAATTCAACTCTTTATTACTGTATTTGACATTTCTGTGTCTCATTCCCGTTGACATTTTGGTGCTTTTATTCAATTTTAATTTCAGTAGTTGGTACAAAAAATAAAACATAGTTTTATAAAAGAAAAAAATTAATTTTGGAAGTTCAATACATGAATAAGAAATGACAATTAATTAAGCGCCAAAATATACTCTGCGTAAATCCTTTAAAAGTTAAAATGAGAAGTTTTTTGCGGAAGGGAGGGAGTAGTATGTAAATGTTTTGGGAACGGATGAAAAATGATTTTTCAAGAAAACTTCATTTCGGAGCTAAGAAAGAATTTTACGGAGTATTTAATTTGTCAAAACAAATAATCCACCCGTTAATTATAAATTCGCACAGAATAAAAAATATAATTTACATATTTGAATACTATATCAAAAAATTTACAAAACAAGTACGTGGTGACAAAAATATATGACGCATATGTTGTTTTATGAAATGAACAATCAAGAAGCATACAGAAAGAAAAATTATCGCAAAAGTCTCTAATAGTAAATATGAAAAGGTTTTTAGGAGAGAGAGCATCTTTTCAAAATATGACATTTTAACATTATAATTAAAAATACTCCCTCCCTCCCTATTTTTATTACAATTTTTTTCACTCTCTTTATCGAAACATTATAAATAAAATATTCTTGTCATCTTTTGTTTTATAGAGCATTTGATGTAGCTTTTTAACATGTAATTTTATTTCTTGTTTATGTACTAATTTATAAATAAAATAATTTTAAAAATCATAAAATTTTGCATCGGGATCGTAATTTTCATTTTGTAATCAAAATTGGGACGAAGTATTAATATAGTGACATTGATCAAGTTGGGGGCTCTCATTTGTAAGCTCCATCTTTAGCTCTCAAGATAATGTCACTCATATCTCACTATATATATGATCAACCTTTTACTAGTCAATTCAAGCTTTGGTCTATTTCGTACAAACAAAAATGCAACACAAGTACGTACTTTATTTTAATGTGTTTAATAAATACTTAGCTTCCTCCCTCCCGTAAAATATTTCACATTTTTATTTTTGTGACGAAAATTGTAGGAATTTGACCAAGATGAAACAAAAATAACCGCCACAAGTAGAATTCGAAAAATGTCAAAATGAATAGATCTAGCATATAGTAGAAGGTAGTTTGTATAGGTTAGATTAGATTTACAAAAAGACATTTGTACCTATTTAGACTAAATAGGAATTTTTTTTATTTCATTTAATTTTTTATTGCAAAACAAAATTTTATAATCTTTCATCTTTTGAAATGAGAAATGAATGACTCACTCACAAACTCTTTCTTCCATCTAAATACATTTTAAGAATAACTTTTTAAATTTTCAATATTTTTTAAATTCCGTAAAAATTAATTAATTTTTTTTGCAGTAACTAGAAGGGACCCTCGTGTAAGCTTCATATATGTGTGTACATATTTAAATTATGGCAGACATAATGTCTATTGGTGCAGTCTCAGTATATATGCAACCACAAGTTTAATCCCCACTCACTTATCATCATCATCATAAAACGAATGACCACCCATATATATTGTGCTCTTGTTTTCTTTTTCCAAAACAAATGAAAAAGAAAACTGAAACTTAGACACGCTTATATGTTACTACGTGTACGTATAAGAGGGCATAATTAGTGCACGCTTACGTCTTTGACTTTCTCATGCACGTCACGTTAGCTTTTTGAATAAAATTTAAAAATACTATTTGCTAACGCTAAACACTGCTCGTAGATAGTTTTTTCAAAATGCTAATCCTAATCTCTAACTGATACTCCCTCCGTCCCTAAATAAACTTCTCTCTTTGACTTTTTGAGGATTTAAGGAAGAGATATTTTTTGTTGACTTTACAAAAATACCCTTGATGTGATGTGTAAAAGTAAGATGTGATATGTAGATTATTAGTAAAAGGTATGATGTGATAGGTAGGGTATGAAAAAGTAAGGGGTAAAAGAGGTTTTTAAGGTAAAAAAGAAGTTTATTTGGGGACAAAGAAAAAACGAAAGGAGAAATTTATTTAGGGACGGAGGGAGTAGAATTTAGGATGGGGTTCCGATGTGGGATACTCTTTAACACTAACGCTATTTCAAAACAAATCCTTAGACGTTGAGCTCTTATTATATTGATATTTGTGGAGGAAGGGAGGGAGGGAATGCGTATCTTGTAATAACGCAACGATTAGGAGGATATATATCACGCGCACAAATATTACTGAATATTCAAATTTATTGGGTTCTTGGGATATACTGGGTATGATGGACAAATATTAAATTTGTATAATATATATAATTATATATAAATATAGATATTAAACTCAAAGTCTTATACTAAAAAAATAAAGTATGCTAGGGAGTATAAATTAATAATCGGATCGATCCCATTATATTTGCACCGTCCCATTAAATTAGCTACTACTATACAAAACATGATACGTACCAAATTATACCACCTGCGACGCATCAATGACATGACAATGCGGTGATGACACAAAAATAATTAAACCCACAACATATGTTATTCTTTCTCTTGTCCAAAAAATAAATAAAAAAACGTTACCCCTTACTTTCACTTTCAAATTTTAAAAATACTCTGTATATTGAAAAGATAAAAATTAGTTTTATGATTTTCTTTTTTTCTTAATGATATTGACTCCGTTACATTGTGGTATGTGTTCATATTATTCTCAATTTAATGATTCATTTAAAAGCAATGTAATTACTTAACTTGATATTTTATTTTATGATCAAGTTGAACAAACTTCGATAATCAATTAAATAAATACTCCGTATTATATTGTACTCCGTATATTACAGTAACAAAATAAAATATTTTTTTTTTAATTTTAATTTATTTGAATTGATGTAATGCATTTGACATCTCCATTCCACGTATTACGCATAGTAAACCCACCATTGCATGCATGTCACTTCATGCACTTATATATACATATATTGGACGTCTATAAATGTAACTCCCAACACACCAACAACTCCCACCATATATAATCTCATCTCTTCATTCCTAGCTAGCTTAATTCCTAGCTCCGAGCTGACCAAGTCAAGAAACTAAACCTAACCCACCCGGCCGGAGAGGAGCAAGAAAATGATGAGGTCATCGTCGTCTTCCGCGGTGGTTTCCATACCAGACGACGAAGGAGGCGAGAGAACTCATTCTGCTGCTGCGGCGGCGGGCGGCTATGATACGCCGCTGCATCAAGAGAAGGGGGCTAATGGTGGTGATAAGAGCAATATTGATAATAATAATAAGAGTAAGAATAATAATGTTTTTATGATGAGGGAAAAGATGAAGAAATGGTGTGAGTTGGACAAGAGGAAAGCAGTGCACAGCATGAAGGTAGGGGCGGCTCTGGTTCTGGTCTCCCTTCTCTATGTCTTGGATCCTTTGTTCAATCAGGTCGGACAAAATGCCATGTGGGCCATCATGACCGTCGTCGTCGTTTTCGAATTTTACGCAGGTAACGAGCTAAATAGGTTTATTATCACGTTCCAGAGTATTTGTCTGTATATATTACTTGATTTTTTTAAAAAAATTAGATTAGACGAACTTTAATCGTCAATTACATTGAATTAATGTCGTGTTAATCATCAGGGGCAACAATAAGCAAGGGGATAAACCGAGGGATCGGGACCATACTCGGCGGGTTATTAGGATGTTTGGCGGCGCTGGTAGCCCATAAACTCGGAGGGTTGCACAGTACTTTTGTCGTCGCCATATCCGTGTTCATCGTAGGTGAGAATGCATGAAAAATAGGCACATCAGAATTAATTAATTAATTGATCATGGCCGATTCGGTACGTACAATAATTGTGAAATATTGAAACGGAACGATTAATTAATTAACTGCAGGTGGGGGTGCGACGTACGTGAGGATGGTGCCGAGGGTGAAGAGGAAATTCGACTACGGGGCGATGATTTTCATACTGACGTTTAACCTGGTGGTGGTGTCGGGGGTGCGGGCGGAGAGCGTGCTGAGACTGGCCCGGGAGCGGTTGTCGACGATCGGGATGGGGTTCGCGGTGTGCATATTCACAAGCTTGCTCATCTTCCCGGAGTGGGCTAGTGACCAGCTCCACTCCTCAACCGCCGCCAACTTCCAACACATTGCTTCTTCTCTTGAAGGTATATACACGGAAACCTAAGTATAATGAATAATTTTGGTGTTATTTTTTAATTATAACTCATCTATTCTACACATTTCATCCTACTCTATTATAAAGTAAATGTAAAATTAGAAAATAATATCAAGGGTATACTTTTTTTCAAACAGGAAGGATTTTAGGACGGAAAAGAGTATAATACCAAGGGTATTTTTGGAAAGTCAATACCAAAATATCTCTCCCTTAATTTACCAAAAAGTCAAACCGTCCCATTCTTTTTGGGACGGAGGGAGTATAATATTCTCTCCGTCCTTAAAAATAATAATCCCTCCGTTCTCAAAAACACTTCATCTTTCATTTTTTTCACTTCCAACAAAACAATTCCACTTTCTATTAAAAAACCACTTTTACCCTTACTTTTTCATAACCTACCTATCACATCATACTTTTTTACTAATAACCAAACTATCACATCTTACTTTTACCCATCACATCAGGGGCAAAATTGGAAAGTCAACCAAAATTACACTTTTCTTATTTTTGCCAAAAGTCAAAAGTGAAAGGGTTTAAAGGAACGGAGGGAGTAATAATTTACTTATGTATACATACAATTGTTATATATGCATGTAGGGTGCTTGGTGGAGTACTTCAGAATTTCAGATGAGAAGGAAAGGGAGGGGAAGGGCGCCGCTAATCTCAGTGCCTGCAAATCTGTATTGCATTCCAAATCATCCGACGAATCTTTGGTATGTACTGCAAATTTATTTTCTTTGCTATTCTTTTTTAATAATTTTGTTGAAATTTTGTTGCATATGTAGTAAGAATCCGACGGTGAGTGGATAAAATTAATCACTTTGCATATATTAAAGTCGAGATCCATTAACTAATCCAAGAGCTTAATGTAATTAATGATTAAATTTTGAAAAAAATTTCAAAAAAAAAAGGCATTGTACCAATACGTGGCACAAATGTCATGTAATTAATGACTAAATTTTGTCTAATTCGACTCGTAAAAAGTCAAAATGAATGACTATCACGGTATGGATGAAGTATTTTGATTGTAACTTCTGCAATATTAAAATTAAACACTACTACATACGGAGTAATAAATAATGATCATTATTATTAATTAATGAGAAATGCTAGATTCACAAACAAAATGGTCACAAACTTCACAAACTTACTAATTGTAAATTTTAATAAAAATTTTAAATAGTCTAGAATAATTTTAAAATAAAAATTTAAATCATAAATGGTAAGTTTGTGAAGTTTGTGACCATTTTATTTGTGAACATAGCATTACTCTTAATTAATCAAATTACATTTATTGTTGCAGGCAAATTTTGCGAAATGGGAACCTTGGCATGGGAAATTTGGGTTCTCATATCCATGGGACAAATACATGGAGATTGGAGAAGCCCTAAGAGAGCTTGCTGCACTTGTCATTTCCCTAAAAGGTTGCATTCAATCATCTTCACAGGTAAATATTAACCTAAACCCTAATTATTACTATTATTTTGAAAAAATAATCATTTGAACAAATATTTTCCTGGACCAGCCATTGCCAGCAGAGCGAGGAATAATCAAAGAGGCGTGCGAAATCGCGGGGGTATCGGTAGCGTGCATACTGAGGGAGCTGGGGGATGGCATAAAGGGGATGAAAGGGTGCAGAGTTAAGGGCACAATAAGCCCTAAACTACAGTGCATGAAACAAGACAACCTCAATGCAGCCATGATCATGAGCTCTGATAGCCCTACAGATATGGGGATGGCCACCTTTGTGTTCCTCTTGAATGAGATGATTGACAAGGTTGAAGACTTGGTGACTATGGTGGAAAAGCTTGGAGACATTGCTGGGTTTCATAAGCACAAGTTGGAGGTTGAAATGTGCTGATTAATTGATTTGGTTTCATGAATATATATTAAAGGGTATGTAATTAATCACCATTAAAAAAAGATTAAATAATATAGGCATTTATGTATAATTATTATTAATTACCATAATGGCACATCAAGAGAGTAGAGGTGTCCCTAGCTTTTTTTTTTTTTAATTCCTACTCCTGAAGTGGCATATGTGTAGTGATTTTATGGAGGTTTTATAATATATATATATATATATAAAGTGTATTGAATATTTATTTTATATTTTTGTAATGACATGTATATGCATGAAATCACTATTGAATTAATCTCATCCTTTTCTGTGAGCCACAAGTTTATTATTACTAAGTATGTTTAAAATATATTTCTTCCGTCTCTTAAAGTTCTTATTTTGACTTTTAGGAAAATTAAGAGAAATATATTCCCTCCGTCCCAAAAAGTCGACACGTTTCGAAAAAACTGTGTCCCGTAAAGTCCGTTACATTTCTATTAAAAAACCACTTTTACCCCTTACTTTTTCATACCCTACCTATCACATCATACTTTTTTTCTAATAATCTACCCATCACATCCTACTTTTACCCATCACATCAAGGGTATTTTTGGAAAGTCAACACCAAAATATCCCTCCCTTAATTTCCCAAAAAGTCAATATGTATCAATCTTTTTGAGACGGATGGAGTATTTTTTATTGACTTTTCAAAAATACTCTTAGTGTAATGACTAAAAATAAAATATGATGGATAGATTGTTAATTAAAAAATATGATGTGATGTATATGATAAGAATTAGTACAACGAAAGTGTCTTCTTAATAAAAATGAGAAAAATTTTGTAGGACAAAAAAAGGAAAAGGAATTTATGGGACGGCGGGTATATTTGTCGGGCAATTGATTACTTTTGAGAACAATACAACAAGTGTTTTTACACTCCAGTATGGTTTTTACTGTTGCAGAAAAAAACATGTAGCTTATACACAGGTTCTTTGTTACATTTCACAAGTGTTACATTCCCAGAAGCTTTGATCTACAACAAAGTATTCCAAAGAAGGAAAAAAATCTAAATTATGTTCTCAAATGAACCTTTTTTTTCCCGGTTCATTTGACGAATCAATGTTTTCCCGTCTATGGCACTAGACGGATCAATGTTTTCCGTCTATGGCATTAGACGGGACCCACCAATAATGCTAGAAGGGGACAGAAACCCGGGAACGGCGGTCCCGCTTCAGAAAGATGGCATAGAGAAGCTGGTTCCAAGAATCCGGGACACCGGGGAGGCACCAGTGGCTGCAGTCCTGGCGGTGGAGAGGCGCCAGTCCGGTGGGCCCCAAATAATACAAAGACAAGTGCGCATCTTTCCTCCGCCACGTCATCATCGTCACGTTCAGTAGCTCCACATCACGCCGTCGTCGCGAGAGAACGTCGGCCACCGCGTCGAATTCCGCGGACCCCGACATTTGAGAGGACCCGAGGTCCGGGAGAGTCTCCCGGTGGCAGCTGCCGCCAGTTTTCCAGTCCCCGCCTCTGCTCACTCGTCCAATCAAAAGATGGCATTTTTTTCAGTTAGGAAATGGAAATACCAAATACGGAGTAACAGCTTAGCTTTTGGTTGAGTTGGTTCCTCAGACAATAAATACAACTCTCTCAAGCATATGAAATGAAAAGTGGAGAAAATTGCACAAGACTCTACCATTAACAAATATGGTTATCACCAATTTACCATATTCCCCTCTTGGCAAGTAATCCTAGCTCAAAATAGTAATTTATTGAACTTTTAGGCGAAATGCAAACCAGAAAGATGAATGAGGAAGAACCTGAAATGAACAGGCGCGTAGCTGCGGAAGAAGACACGGGTCTTTGACGTATTTACTTCGCGTCCTAACCAGTCAACCAATGTCACAATTGATCTATGAAGCGCCTCTTCTACACTCATATTCATCTTTATCTCTTTACCTTCTTGAAAATAGGTTCCACTGTCAAGTGAATGAAATGTTCAGCTTTGGAATGGTTACACCAGTTAAAAGAAATGGATGTTTGGAGAAATAGTTAAATGACCATAATGACATTGATATAATATTTTTGAATTAAAAAAAAAATCAATTAAAAATTTACCCCCTAGTAGTCTTCTCATGATTCCACCAATGACCAGTGTTGAAGACAAGCAAGTCTGCACCTTTCCACTTACCAGAGCTCCAATCCATTTGATCCAGCTTCAAAGTCATTTTTACCCCTCTCGGAGACCCTGCAGGCGCGCGGCTTTGCAACACCAGAAAGGGAGCTCTGTAGTATTCAACGGTGCAGTTGAAATCCTCGAACTTGAAAATCAGGGAACCGGAATGTTTGGTGATCGGAGCTCTGTTGACTTCGTATATTGAACTTTTGTTGGCAACTGCAGATGAGAGCATGCAAAGAAGAGACTCCCACTGGTTTCTTCCAATTGAGTCCCCCACAAATGCAACCCTTCTGTTTCTCAGCTTTTCCAGCATGGTTTTTGCATCAAATCTGTGTAGAATTTGGAATTCTTGGATTATTCATAAATATGGGGATTCTTGATTAGGGATTTATCGGCCATTGGATCCATGATATTCAGATTTGGGAAAATCCCAATCTGTGGATTCAGATTGGATGATCAAGTTCACAGATTCAATCCTAGAGAAAATAAAACCTAAATACATCAAATGCTAAATACAAATCCATTTCAATAAACCAAGATATTTTATCCAAACCAAAAACAATTACTATCATTCATCATTCATAATTTCAACACTAGATTAAACAATAGATGGGGAAAACCCATTCATAAAATTCATACCTTTAGAACTCACTAAGTTTGAAGAACATCCCATTACCTGAAATTAATGCTTACCCAAAAAATAGAGTCAAATGGATACATACACTGTGTGTGTGCTTGTGTAAGTTTGTATTACCACTCAGAGTTCATTTATGCAATTACCATAGTTCAAAAACCAAAACTTTACATCAATATATTCACCAGAATAGAACTTCTGAAAAAATAATAGCAATTGAAGCAAAATTACACAAAACCCCATCATTACCAATAATCCTAATTAACCAAAATCAAGCAAAACCCATCATTCTCTGCAACATAAATCGAAGTAAAGCAGAGAAAGAAAGCAAAAAAAAAACCTGGGCAAGTTGCAATCTTTAGGTTGCCATCGCCATTTGGTGTAGAAAGAATCAGGCCTTCCATTCTCAGTACAGCGAAACCCAACATCCAAGAACAAGCAATCTTGGGACTGGTACAATGGGTAGCTCTCATCCCAAACCCAACTCCCCTCAAAGATATCACACCCACCCCCGCCTTCTTCAAGAAACTCCACCGGTTTCCGATCCACGTCGCCAGAGAGCAATGAAGATCCATTAACGGCGGCGAGCGGCCAGATGGGCCCGCGAAACCGGATCCCGCCGGCGACGGTTCTGTAGTCTAGCAAGAAGAGAGAGCAGAGGAAGCAGAGGGTTATGATGAAACAGGCAAGAACACCCGAAGAGGAGGAGTCCAGAGACTTGAACCGCCTGAATTTCTTCAAGAAATCGAAGTGGGTGAGTGGATTCTTGGGCTTCGGGTTTGGGTTCTCGTTCATCTTCTTTACATCTGAAGATTTCTGAGTTCTTGATAATAAAAAATGAAGTTTGGAACTTTAGTCAGGGAAAGCAAGAAGACAAAGAAGCTAAATTTTCAACCTTTCATTTCTTGGAACTGTGTGGGGGAAAAGGAGAGGAGTTGAGGGAGTAGTGGTAGAGTAATTGTAGTTTGTGACAGCAAGAAAGGAATACGGAACTTGTGTCCGGGGGAGAACGTGGGTGGTAAATTGTAATTCTCGCCCCTCATATTTTAAAATTTCTAATTTAGTTCTATATTTTTTTTGTAAAATTTTAAATTATGTGATTCAAATTATATTAAATTAAAAATTAATTAAAGAGAACATAGATTTAAAAATAAAAAACAAAAGGACAATGTAAATACAATAAAATACACTATACAGTGTCATAATATCACTGAAAATCTCTATTTAAAAGATAAAAATATGAAGATCTTATCTTCAAGGTAGATGTAAGGGAGTATATTTTAATCTTATTTAAAGAGATTTTTTCATAATGTTTGAAAAATATAGAACTCAACAATATATATTTATATTTTTAAAAAAATATCTAGACACTGAAACTGTAGAAATCGGATACGCAATACTAAACAAATGGGGCAAAAGGCCCTTGGTTTCTCACTCAAAGTCACGTTTCTCCTCACCTACTTTAAAGAATGTGAGTTCCAAAATTTATTATATCAATTATTACATTAATATTAGTATAATATAATAAAATATAATATAATTAATACTACGTAATTTATTTGATCAATTATACAACCATTCACTTCCCATACTCTAGAATTTTCTTTCCTCATTATAAATAAAATAAGGCTTCCCAAGATGAGAGACCAATGATCACTTGAGGGTAAGATAAACAGAGGTTGAGAGGGTGCCTGAAGTGAGTATGTAAGAATGACATGGCGGAAAAAAAGTTTTGCCTTAATATTCAATAATGAATAAAATTATACTCCCTCGGAAATATTCTTCTCATTTTCCTTTTTGGTCCGTCCGGAAATATTCTTCCCATTTCTTTTTTCAGTATACTTTTTAAATCTAAATATCAATAATACCCTTCTATTTTATCACAAATATACTTTTTTAGTACTTTTTTAATAATAAAAGAAGATTTAAAAGTTTATAGTATGTGCATTTTTGAAAATTTTACATTTTTTTTACTATTCCTTAATAAGCGTGCCAAGTCAACACGGGAAGAACATTTCTGGACGGAGGGAGTAGAGAATTTATCCAAAAAAATACTAAAATATAGTGACTTTTCCAATGTAGTACCATATATTTTTATTTTTGAATGTGATACTACTATTCAATTTCCACTGGTCATTGTTCAAGTAAATATCTAATGTTATTGGACACTGTTCAAACTAAATGTCCACTATCACTGGATATTATTCTTGCGATTAGACATTATTCAAGTGTTATTTAGAGAATTAAAAGGTTTAAGTGTTACATTAGAAAATAACATATATTTTAGTGCTATTTTGTACAAATTTCACATAAACTATTGAGCTTAATTTATACACTCGTTTGAGCTTGAATCCTAATTTGTACTCCCTCCATCCCATAAAATCTTTCTTCTTTCTTTTTTCATTTGTCCCAAAAAAATATTTCATTTCTATAAAAAAGTCACTTTTATCCAACTAATTCTTAACCTGCCAATTATATCACACTTTTTCACTACTAATCTACCCGTCACATCTACTTTTACATATCACATCCAATGACATTTTTGGAAAGTCAACACCAAAATAGACTCTTCTTAAATCACTTAATATTCAAAAAGAGAAATCTTTTGTGGGGCGGAGGAAGTATTTAATTTCAAATGTTTTTACTTTATGTGTACGCGAATAACTATTGAAGTCTTTAATTATTGAAATAGGAAGTATTTCTAAATAATGAATTATAGATACTCTAAATGATGTGGATTCATTACTAAGGGAAACCTGCCTCAAAGTAATAGAGTGGTAACTTGGTAAGTCCAATAATGAGACTTAGACGACCTACAAGAAAAGGGTCTTTTGAATTTTAAAGACCCCAAAGCGAGACTTAATTACTCCATTTGGATGACAAATGGACAAGGTTAGCAATTGAAACTAATTAATTCCATATTATTGAAGTTAGGTTTTTGGGCTTCTTTCATTGATCCAGCAATAATGATTTGGGCTTCGAGATATCGTTCATATTTAGAAAACTATTCGTCCACATTCTAAAAACGAAAAATACGATGTATAGAAAACTATTTATTCATATTCTATAAATAAATACGTAAATTTAGAGGTGAAAGTAGCTAACCAGTCTCAAATTTTTTTGAAAAAATTGAAAATATCAAATCGAAAAAAATCAAACCGATAAAATATTGTAAAAAAATCGAACCGTGTCGAACGGTCGGTGCAAAATCTAGGAACGATAAGAGTAAAGTTTGCATTATGTGTAATGGTGTAAATTATACTTTATTTGAGTTTTAATTTTTTGTCGATGAATATAAAAATAACAAACATTCACAATACTTTTTTTGTTTTAATTCGTTCTCTTATATTTGTGAAATATAAGCTAAGTTTTATAAGTATTTCTTAAATTTAATTAGTTTTTCAATTTTTTATCTTTCTGTATTTAAATGTACTTTCAATTTTAAAAAATAAAGGGTTTTATTAAAATGTAAACTAGGTATGCCTATATTCATCCAAACTTTTACCCAAACCGGTGCCAAACCATCCCCAATCGATACTTCGAGATCAAGTTCGATACAATAGAAAATCACATACTAAACCGAAATACTTGGTACAGTTCAAGTATCATAGTGCACCATGCTCATCCTAAGTAAATTTATTAAAGATTATCCATTTTCTTAGGCAACATTTGTTGGCTATTAACATTTTAGATAAGCTATCCGTATCATCAAATATCTGGATATAATGGAAAATAATTGTGAACTATGTATTCTTATTATATTCAGAAAAAAAGAAAGTGCGAAGTATATAAGAAAATGGTAGTTAGTGAATTAAAATAGGAAGTTAGATAACGAGAGAGAGTATATAAGAAAAGTGAAATTTGGTGTGAAATAGGATTAAAACATAAGTCATTTCCCAATGTATGACTTATACATTTTTTTATTCTCTAAATAGTTTTAAAAATGTCAAATGAGAAGAATAATGTCCAAGTGATGCTAGACATTTAGTTGAATAACGACTAATACATAATGACCAATGGTCCTACATTGAGAAATAAAAACATATGATCTTATATTAGGAAAGTCATTATGTTTTAATTCTATTTAAGTAAATTATTTATAAGAAAATGGTAGTCAGTGAATTATAAGGCCTTACTCCAATCCACATGTACGTATAAATACTCTATCTCCCATTTCATTTCCCCAATTAATCTGCCCTCTCTCCATCCATACAAACAAACAAAAAAAAACAATAACCCTATTTACGTACTTTCCAAACCCTAAAACAAAAGGTGATAATGAACTCTCTCCCGTCTTACCCCCACAAGCTCGTCGTCGTCTTGGGTACCACCGGCGCCGGCAAATCTAGACTCTCCATCGAACTCGCCACCCGCTTCTCCGGCGAGATCATCAACTCCGACAAAATGCAGGTCTACCGCGGCCTCGACGTCCTCACCAACAAGGTCACCGACGACGAGCGCCGCCACGTCCCCCACCACCTCCTCGGCGTCATCGACCCCGCCAAGAATTTCACCGCGGAGAACTTCTGCTTTGCCGCCACAGAGGCGATCAAGTCGATCACCGCCCGCGGCCACCTCCCGATCATAGTCGGCGGCTCCAACTCATTCATCGAGGCTCTCATGGACGACCCCGACTTCCGGTTGAGGTCCACGTACGACGTCTGCTTCCTCTGGGTCGACGTGTCCATGCCGGTTCTCCACTCATTCGTGTCGGACCGGGTGGACAAAATGGTTGACCAGGGGTTGGTCGAAGAGGCCCGGTCGGCGTTCGACCCCGAGAATGGGGACTACTCCACCGGCATCAGGAAGTCAATCGGCGTCCCGGAGTTCCACCGCTACTTCCAAGCGGAGCCCACGGCGGATGCCGACACCCGCGCCGCCCTACTCAAAGAGGCAATCGACGAGGTGAAGGCCAACACGTGCGTGCTGGCGAGTCAGCAGTTGGAGAAGATAAAGCGGCTGCGGGACGTGCGGGGGTGGAAGTTGCACCGGGTCGACGCCTCCGAGGTGTCCCGGATGAAGGCGGCCGGCGGCCGCAAGGAAAAGGAAATGTGGGAGAATCAGGTGGTTGCGCCCAGCGCCACCATTGTGACGAGGTTCCTTCACAATAGGGTTGGGCCGCTCTTATATGCGGACACCACGGACACTGCCATCAGGCAGGCGGCCGGAGCAAAGGATCTGGCGGCGGCGGCTCAGTGAGACTTCAATTCTTCTGCGGAGGGAGTATATGTATCTATCGGTACGCCTATATATTTTCAAGAGCCACCCGCCGTACCTTTTGTATCTCCTTTCAGTTTCATTTTTGGGGATATTAAGGAAAAGACTGCGGTGTCCTCGCCCAAAGTGTTTTTGTGTTTTTATGGAATTCCATCCTATATGTTACTCTAATAAAATATTGTTCGGTTATTGAGTAATTTCATTATACTCCGTCTCCAAATAAACTTCTCTTTTCGTTTTTTCTTTGTCTCTTAATAAACTTTTCTTTTTCCTTAAAAAAATCCCCTTTTACCCCTTACTTTTTCATATCCTACCTATCACATCATACGTTTTTACTAATAATCTACATATCACATCTTATTTTTACACATCACATTAAGGGTATTTTTAAAAAGTCAACACCAAAATATTCCTACCTTAATTTCCCAAAAAGTAAAAAAGGGATGTTTATTTAGGAACGGAGAGAGTGTAATGTAGTACTCCTAGATTAAAATATTTATATGAACAATCTACCAAAGTGATCCTTTTTAATTAGATGTTTTTTCAAATTAGTTATTAATTAAATATTAATTAGTTATGTAGTATTTTATAGATATATTTGTGCTAAATAGCGCTAAAATTTAAGTCATTTTTCTAAATAGCACTTAAATTGTTTTATTTCCTAAATAGCACTTAATAATATCCATAGTGTCCGGTGATAACAAATATTTACTTGAATAATGACTAATAATGCAACAACAACAACATAAATCCCACAAGAGTAGGGTCTGGGGAGGGTGTGTGTACGCAGACCTTGCCCCTGCTTGAATAATGACTAATAATGCATAATGACTAAAAGTGCTACATTGGCAAGAAAAACACGTGCGGTGTTATTTAGGAAAAGTCATTATGTTTTAGTGTCATTTAAGTAAATTCCCCATTTTATAATTGAGATTTATTTTTTAAATAATCTTTTAAAAAATCACTTAAATGTGGAATAAGTGGATGATAGTTCGATTTTTTTAAATCTCACTTGGAGTAATTCTCAAATATATCATTTCTAATGAAGTGTAATTTTAAAATAGTATTTTACAATTAAAAAGATATACTCGTATTTGTTTTAAATATTAAAATATTTTGACAGACTTTATATCATGTACTCCGTATATAGCTAGCAAATGATTGTTTTAAACTAAATACTCCCTCCGTTCTAAAAAACTCTTCCTCTTTCCTTTTTTTTATTTCCAACAAAACACTTCCACTTTCTATTAAAAAACCACTTTTACTCTTACTTTTTTCATACCCTACCTATCACATCATATTTTTTCTCTAATACTCAATCTATCACATCTTACTTTTACCCATCACATCAAGAGCAAAATTGAAAGTCAACTACAATTTAACACTTCCTTATTTTACACAAAATCAAAATAGGAACACTTTTATAGAACGGAGAGAGTACAAATAATCAGTTTAAGAATTTCCTTTAAGTTTATATACTTGAAATAACAAATTACGCTCCAATTAATCACCATGATATACGTTGAAACATTTGCTCTAGATGTTAATTCGTTTCCCGAATAAGATCAAGTGTGTTTTATTCTTTTTATTGCACATAATTCTATAGGATCTCACTTATATGTCTTTATCAACAACGAGTGTTGGATAATACTCGGTAATAGATAAAATGAATGACTCTACGAATGCAGTCATTAGCAACAAATGTTAAATAATGACTGATTATTTCAATGATTACTCAAATTTTTTTAATAATGTATTATTCGATCTACTTGAATTGTGTAATAAGTCATTTTTTTCATAGAGAACATTTTAGAATTTTTTTATTGTCAAATGTTTTAGTAGATAGGACTCGTTCCATTTATGGAAAAAAAATATCTAAATCCCATTTGGGTAAACTACCCGTATATCTTAAAAACTCTCACATGTGAGAAAAACTGTTGTGAGTGGTCTAAGATCTTCTTTAACTAATGGAGGATTTTACCGAGTATATTTTAAAAGTGATTCTCACAATGCCATTTTTCGTCTTCAATTTGAATAATCTAATTTTTTTTTATATTCTTTATATGACAAATAACTAAGAGCATTAACAAAGCATTAACAATGGTGAGGCAAAAATGTAATGCCACACGCTGACGCGAAGCATGTCAATCAATAAAAAACAGTCCAGTCAATGAGTGGCACGTGAGTGGAGTGGCATGCCTTGCAGTGACAAGTCATTGTTTTCATCACTTTTTTCATATTTTTTCCATATTTGAATTATTAAAAATTATTTTACTTATATATTTTTATCAAGAAAACATTTCTATTTACTCAAATAAATAATTTTTTATATATATTTTAATTATTAAAAATATTTTTGTTATCTACTCCATATTTTTATTTATTCCTAATTCATCTCAATTTAGATTATTATTTTAGAATTACGATGCAAAAACTCTCTATTTTTAAAAATCATTTCATTTAAAAATTGGTATAAGAATTAAAAATAAAACTTATAAATTTAAAAATTACATCAAAAGTTCTACAAAAAAAGTTGTGACAAAATTTTTTTAATTAAATAATCAATGAAAACATACAAATAAATAAAAGATATCGAGAGGTGAGAGAAAAAATTATAATCTATTGCGAGATGGAGAAAGTAAAAAATAGTTCTATTACTTTACAAAAAAATCTTTCTCAAATAAAAATTGAAAAGTAAAAAAAAAGTTATATGTGCCTCGCCCAAGCCTTGCACTCCATGGAGGAACGGTGCTTCCACGCAAAGAAGGAAACTCTATCTTGATCCCTAGGTGGAGATTTGGGTAGTAAAGCAAATTTGGATAGTAAAGCAAATTAGACACCAAAAATTATCGTACCTCATATTTTCTTTTATTTTCCATTCGAAATCCATTGAACCAAACAAAGTGCAAACATTCATTGCTTCTTACTAGTACTCTTTATGAAGATTTGGATAGTAAAGCAGCAATGTTTTGTGTACATCTTGATCCCTAAGTGAAACAAAACTATGATTATATTGGGTTTGTTCTTGTTGAGCCCTATGTTTAATTCGCCTCAAAATCCAAGTGGTCATTGACCAAGAATCAACACTGCTAAATTCTTTAGGATCACAGCTGATGCATTTTTTTAAAAATCTGCAGATACATACCACTCAAAGCAACAGCAAGAACCTCAAGAATGGCCAAAGCCTTTTCTTCTCCAACTCAAGAAAGAAACATAGTACTACCCAGATTATATGACATCTATCTACCTTAAACCAAACGAAAGCATTAAATCAATGTTCTAAACAGTCCATTAAAGCAATCATTCAAGCCCTTTTTGGATACATATTTTCAATTAGCGTTAACATTTTGGATAATTTTCTAATGGCAGAGATTAACTTTTAATATGCTAAAACGAAATGCTGCCATTAAATATTCACAACTTTCACATAACTCCAGTTATGTTTTTTGGTTTTGTTTTTGCTGCAATAGATATAGGTTAATCACTAGTGTCTTAAGAGCAATTTGGCTTTGATTAATTGATTCTTAATGCTTATTCTGCATATTCTAATCCCAGAAACATACTCCCAAAATATCAGTCAGATTCTCAAAAGAACTCTGCAAGTAGACACTCAGAACATAAACAAACTTCTTCTTCAGCATATCATAAACAGAATTTAAGCAGATGAAATCTTAATTTTCAAATGATTTTTTTGATTAAAACAGTACAGCAATGAGCAATCTATTTCCAGATTCGGAGAAGCAAATGACCTTTGGCTATGAGAATCAGGCGCTTCCCTTGGAGATGGAGGAATCGTCGTCAAGGTCCGACGGCGGCGGCGGCGGCGAGTTTTCGGTGGCATCGTCGGGGTCGTAATTCGGGTCGGATTTCTTCAGAGCGGCCCGGGCCTTGTCGAGGAAGGGCTTGAAGGCGAGCTCAATGGCTAGCCATCCGGCGGCTAGTGCACCGAAAACCACCGCCGCTGATTTCAGAGAGCTCTTCTCCCCCATCTTCTCCCTCAATTCCAAAGTGTTGAAACGCGTCGTTTGTACGATTGCTTTGGACACGCGATTTCTGCTTTATGTTAAGGGGGTATTTATATAGAGCATGTTTTTGGGTGCCTTTTGGGCCGAAGAAAGAGTTTATTGCACCCATGTAATTAAGTTTTACATCAAAACTTTTAAATTTATTTTTCTGAATTCTATCTTAGATATCTTAATCGCCAATATCTTTTGTTATAAGGTGTATTTAATATTTCCTACGTTTGGAAATATTCTTCCCATTTGACTTTTCTTGATCAAAGTTTGTAAACTTTGACTATGATATGTGGAAAAAAATACATTATATTACGATATAACTTTAATATGAATATATTCATTTTAAAATATAGTTTTCAAATATCAAATTTTTATAAGATATTTCCATACATAAATAAAGATATTAGTGGTCAAAATACAATCTTGGAGACTGTAAAAGTCAAATGGGAAGAACTTTTCCGGACAGAGGAAATATTTAGTTCTTCATATAACATATTTTCAATTATGTACTTCCTTCGCTCCATAAACATTTTCTGTTTTGACAGTTGGAAAGGAAAATTCTAAAAATTTGACCTAAGTGAAATGACAACTTAAACGACTATGGCTCAGAGAATGTAAACCATAGAAGGAAGCTGAGAAAGGTAGCTAAGATAGGTTCAATTAGATTTAATAAAAGGACATTTGTGTCCACTGAGGCAAAATTAAAATGTTTTATGAGACATGTCAGATGCGAAAGTTGAAAAATTTTACGAGACGGAGGGAGTAGTTATTAAAATTAATATCACCCATATAAACGTGTTTCATCCGCTTTACTCACGGGTGATAGATGGATCAAATAATGGGTGATGCTTGACAAGGATAATGAAAAATCAGGTGATAGATTCAGAGTTAATGGATAAATGAGAGTGATGCTTGCATGACCGTTACCTTTGAAAGTTTGTAGCGATGTTTTCATTTGCGGAGTACAATTTTAACTTGCAAAAAAAAAGGGACCAGGAAAGCAGAAATAAGAGGCGACCAAATACCAAATCACATCCATCCGTTGATATAAAAACTAGTGGAGTACTACATTGCGAAATAGAATCTGAGTGAAACACATGTGATTCATCAACAACACAAACACAATTGAAGTCACATTACCCAAACAAGACTCGGAGGGCCCCATCTACCGACCTCTCCCACGTCCTCGCCCACGTCCACGACCCCGGCCACGTCCCAACGCCTTTCCTGTATAGGCACAACAAAAGGGATACAACATTACCACTACTTAAACAGATATTAGCATACTCCTCATTATCTCATCCAAAGGAATAGTTTTGATGTTTGAACTACTGTAAATGTTTTGTCGGTAACCAGGAATATGTCAGGGATGTGAATGGGGAGGAATATAGTAATGGATAAGTTGAAACTCAATTGATCAACTTGAGATACTTCGTATTTGTTCACAATCATTTTACTATACATTTATAATTATATACCAGCACTAAGAAATATAACTACATCCTAACTCCGTACCAAAATGAAGTTTACACTTTGTTTTTCTGAATATCCCAAAACGAACTTTACACTTGTCAACTTTCATTAATTTAATCCACACGCCTTTCATTTTTCACCAAAACCTTTCAATTTTCAACATTTTCCTTAAGCTGGCGTGAAGTCAAATCGGAAGCCTCCTTTTTGGGACGGAGGGAGCATTTCAAAAAGAGTCAATGATCAAACTTGACTTTGTATTTTTAAGTGAAAGCCCACATACATTTTTCTTTATTAGCGAGAAGTATCTTGTTTCCACCATTTTATATGTTTCAAACATAATAGAAAAAGTGGCTAAAGGCTGAGGGATTCAAACCATACCTGCAGTTGGTTTTTTAGGCTTCACTTTAGGAGTGTCTTCAACCAGCAAAGTCTCAAGATTTATGCTATCAGGCAGTATGTAATAGCGAATGTTGTTTCCCCTCACACTCAGGTGATCCATAGTCACAGGGTTCTTTCCCTTTGGCGTCAGCTTTACTGTCTTTAAGTGTGTGTTCATACTGACATCAACCCCTGTAAAGCACAAAATGAAGTAGAAATTGTTGTTGAATTTCAAGTTCACCAGGTAATATAAAATCAATAATAACAGTCATAGGACTAATATATAATTTGTATGCTTTAATCTGTTATTCCTATGGATTTGAATTGGAAAGCTCGACTCTAAAAGTTCCACGCCCATGAGAACTGGAAGCATATAGTTTGATTATAGACGATAATTGATGAAAGTTTAATTTACAACGAAAAAGATACATTTCCAGACAGAAATATTTCAAAGCTTATAAGTGAATTACACAAAAAGATTACATCATCCTTGTTTAGTCATATTCAAACACACATTTAACAGTGAAGGTTGCATTACAGTCCTTCTCTTTTTTGTTCTATAGGACGAATCCATTTAAAAAAAGATAAAACCAGTGAATTTGTGTATTCAATATTCATTGTCAAATCCTTCCATAAAATAAAAGTAGCATGTGTGCAGTTTATTTTTGAGTATAACTCCCTCCGTCCATTTTTTATCTTCCCAATTTCCTTTTTGGGTTGTCCACAAGTTATATTCCTATTTCCTATTTTGGCAATTTTTTGGGGGGTAAAATGTCTTAGTTGCCCTTACAACTAATTTCTCCAAGCAAAACCTGTAGACACCCCTGTTTCAAAACAACCTCTTCCCAACCACATTTCTTTTCATTTTATCTTCTTCCTCCAACAATTACATCCCTATATTTTTCTCTCTTTTCCAGACATTTCTTCCCAAAACAGCCCCCATCGTCTTTAAAACTCCATCAACTCCTCATTTTCTTCTTTTTCAGGTTGTCTTCTTCCCACAACATCAAACCAATGTTCGAAAAGGCGGAACGCAAACCCGCCTCAAGGCGCGCCTTGTAACTTTTTCCGGATATTACGCACTGGAGCTAATCCCGTTTTCACGCTATAGGTTTTTTTACGCAATTCTATGAAAGGCGTACGCCATGGGGCGTACGCGCCGGTGCGCGCAATAAGGCTTACGCACTTCAAGGATTAGAAATTTGGAAATTAAACGATTAAAATTTTGGGTATTGAAGGCTAAAGTTGTCAATTACTCCAATTAATTAGCCCAATTAAGTGTATATATCCTAAAATTACCCAAAATTAGTGTCGATTACCCTAATCTTTGTCGATTACCTTTTGGGAGCTACGAACCGTCTCCAGCGTCGGCCGTCTTCAGTCTTCTTCTCCGGCAAAAAGGTATGTTTCTTTGTCTGCATCTCTGCTCTTTCTCTCCAGCACATGCAAAGGATAGGGTGCTGCATTTTATGTCTGCTTGTAATTTTAGGATCTCTGCGTTTTATGTCTGCTCTTTCTTTCCAGCACATCCAACTTAACTTAGCCTTTTTCTCTTTTTACAATTGTCAAGTGGTGCTATTTTTTCTTTTTCTTATTTTTTTGGTAATCTTTTTGTGAAGTACACTAGCATTCAATTGATGTTTTTTATGAGTTTATGATTGGTGTTTTTTCAAGTAGTTGGATGAGATGATTTTTTTATCTGTTAATATCCTTTTTTTTTCTTCTTTTTTTGATTACTGATGTGCTAATTGTTCTATTTTTTTGTTTTTAAGATGAATTATTGCATAGTATTGTATTGTTTATTTTGGTGTTTCAGAAATTCCGAGGAAGAGAATGAAGGAAATGTAACATCTTTTGATCCTAATTTCAAGCCGTTAGACACTGATGAACTTTTTTTCAATTCTTCAATTTAAGCTCATCACTTCGAGCAAAATTATGTCTGATTCCATGTTAGACTTTGTTATGTTTGCGATGTATTGCTTTGACAATATACTTTTTTCATGTTTTTGGATTATTTATGTTATACATTATGTTCTATCTTTGGTTTTAAATTATTTTGTGAATGTTTTTCAATTTNTTAGACACTGATGAACTTTTTTTCAATTCTTCAATTTAAGCTCATCACTTCGAGCAAAATTATGTCTGATTCCATGTTAGACTTTGTTATGTTTGCGATGTATTGCTTTGACAATATACTTTTTTCATGTTTTTGGATTATTTATGTTATACATTATGTTCTATCTTTGGTTTTAAATTATTTTGTGAATGTTTTTCAATTTAAAAATTGAGGCTTACGCCTCAAAACGCTTCAAGGCTTACGCAATACGCCATGAAATGAAAACGCCTCAAAACCGCAATACGCCTTTTCGAACATTGCATCGAACAAGATTGAAGTCGCACCATTGTGACGCATCTTCACGGGAGCAGCATTGTCAAGTTGTGTCATCTACATCGGATCTCATCGGACAGCGTGTGTAACCCATGCTTGATTTGGCCAGATCTGAAGGTGTAGTCCTTCTTTGATTTAGGCAGATGTCTACACCGGATATGATTCCAACCCGGATCTATGATAGAGATGGTCAGGGTGACTGTACTTTGGTGGTGAAGTCAGAAGCGGAGACTGATGGTGGAGCGACGAGCGATGGTGGAGTGGTGGTGGATATATGGTGGTGGTGTGTGGCTGAGCAAAGGAGAATGGAGAGTGACGTTCCGTGGAGGGCCCAAAGTAATAGAGAACTGAGAGTGATGTTTAGGCGAAGGGCGAGTGAGGGCATTTTGGTATACTCAATGTAATTTCCATCTAATATTAATTTGGTTCCAGGTCAAACCTGGAAGATAAATAGACGGAGGAAGTATCTAACAAACTACTAATAATTAGCTTACACTAAGACTTCCTAAATACTCAACCACAACATAGTACTAAGAAAAAGTCATCAGATCAGAGCTCAATATAACATTGGAAAAAGCAGCACACACTAGAGCATATTGTACTGCAGACACCTCACCCCCACCTCCCACTGCAATCATTCACTCAAATGTTTATCAAGCTCAACTGTCAAAACTGAAAAGACCTTAATATGTGCACTGCTTAGTTGAGAAGCTTACTTAGGGCAGTGTAAACCAAAATAAGAGCCAGCACAGAAATTTATTTGCAACATCTAGAAGGAAGTGTTAGAATACAGAAACATGAAATTTTGAAAACTGCAAAACCATAAACACTCCAAAATCAATGCTTCGCCAAGATGTTACTTCACAAGTAAAGCAAGTGGTGCTGATGATGAGAGATGGCAAGCACTCCCAGTGGAATGAAATCCTTTGAAGAGTCCTACACTACATGGTATCCATTCTTCATAAACCACAATTCTTTTGAAATTCAAAAGAACCTATAGTCTTCTGCTAAAAGATTTGGATACCCTTTCCATTTCCTTCATAATAACCTTGAAGTCATAAAGAATCCTCAATATGCCCATCGCCCCCAAGGCACTACTCATACGGAAGGAACCCCATACACATAAGAAAATAAGAATAGGAGCAAATCAAGAAAATGTTCAACTTCCTGGTTCAATTTAACTAAAAATCCCAAACACAAACTATTCGCCTCGATAACCTAGCAGATCGAAATTCTTCAACAAACTACACGGAAACGAGAATAGGGGCAAATCATGTATATCTACAGAGCGTGCGAACGACATATACCTGTAATGGTTCCATTGACGACGGTGCCGTTTTTCAGCTCAATCGAGACAGTCTCGTTGTTCAATTTCATCAAAAATCTGCAAAATTAAATCCAAAACCAGAAATTAGAGTGAGGGAAACATACGGTATCTGTATACGTAAATAACGCAGCGATTTGCGTCAAGAAACTGACCTGACGAGCTTCATTGCGGAGAGCGGAGAAGCTAGGGCTCAATCCAAGCTGGAAGAGATGAGAAGTCCCGCCGGCCTAAAATGAGAGGGCTTTAGGCTTTAAATCAAGAGATACATTCAAACGACGTCGGCTGCACGCTTAATCTTGTTTTTGTATTTACCTATTTACCCCTCACGCCTTTAGTAAAGAGAAAGAAAATAATCGTAATAATCTCACTTTTATTTGGTATTTCAAAAATAATTTTATTTTTCATTGTGCGGATAATGGCCTTGTTTGAGAACAATTTTTTTGATTAGTATTATTTTTTTAAATAAAATTTTAATGGTGTAGATTAGTTACCGTCACATAGTATTTTCAAAATGTTAACGCTAGCCTCTAACGCTTGTCAAACATGGCCAATAAAAACATGGGCAATGACACGTAAGAAATGAAATGCCACACGAAGACGTGAAATATTTTAATCAATCAAAATCAGTCCAGTCAACATGTGACAAATGAGTGAGTGGCATGCATTACAATGAGAAGATGTTTTTTTATCAGTTTTACACTTTTTAAACGTATTTTAATTATTAAAAATTATTTTACATATCTTTTTTTCATAAAATAGATGTACCCATTTTAAAAATAAACTTCTTTTTTGTACAAAAAATTAAAAATACTTTTAAAAAACTAGCACGCGCATTGAATGCTTGGTGGGGTGGAACGGTGTTGCCACTCCATACTAAGAATAGATCAAGGCTGATGTGGCACAACGAGGCAAGGAGATGCTTTGCCACCATTGATTATTCTCAATATCAGGTAAAAATAAGATGTGATATATAGATTATTAGAGACAAAGTATGATGTGATAGATAGAGTGTGAAAAAAAATACGGGTAAAAGGGATTTTTTAAGAAAAAATGAAAGTGTTTTATTGAAAGTGAAAAAATAAAAGAGGGAGTGTTTTTGAAAATGGAGGAGAGTAAGATTTAGAAATAGTTTTTGAGCAATTCTAGGTTCACAAACAGAATACTCACAAGCTTACTATTTATGGTTTAAAATTTAAATTTTAAAATCTCTTTATAGCATTTAATTTTTTATATTAAAGTTCAAAAATAGTAAATTGTGATGTTTGTGATCATTGTGTTTGTGAACCAAGCATTTCCCATAGTCCTTTAATATAATATTTGAGAGTTGATAGGCTAGAATTTTGACATGTGGCACTTCAAGAGCTTTATTTTAAGTAAAATTTGCACTAAAAAGGACTAAAACATAATGACTTTCCTAATCTATGACTTAAACTTTTTTATTCCCTAAATAGGACTTATTAATGTCTTGGTGGGAGGAATAATGTCCAGTAATGATGATGGACATTTACTTGAATAATGACTAATTTATAATGACCAAAAGTCCTACATTGGGAAATAAAAACATATGGTCCTATATTGAGAAAGTCATTATGTTTTAGTCCTATTTAAGTAAATTGACACGTCAGTTTCCACGCGTCGTGCTTATGGCTCTTACTACGGAATTACTACGGAAGATTTTCCCAAAGATAATCAATTCCGTCTTCTTCGCATATGCAGGGCTAAATCTCCACCTTATCTTCATCCCTGATTTATCTCCAAAAATACACTGATTTTCCGATTAATTTCTTAACCGAAGGAAAGGAATCAAGCCTCTAAAGGCAATCTCCATTTCACTGTCTCACTTCTCCCATTTTGTTTGAATGTACACCTAAGCTCTTCCGGAAACTATTGCAGAAGGAAATTTTTGGTCTTAATCATAGAAGTCATAGAAGGAAAGTGACTTCTCCCATTTTTACTATGCCTACCATCGCAGAAGGAAAATTCTGCAGCCCAGCCGATCTTCGCTTCATCACAGAAGGAAACTCTCGCAAAAGGAAACACTGGCAGGAGGTAGCAAATCTCTTCAGCCGATCTTCACTCTTAATTGAGATCCAAAATTCCAAATTTGAGATTCAAATTTGAGAATCGAGGTTCATTATGAAAATTTTGTGGCCGCTGCAATCACTGTTAATAGGTATGTTTCCAATTTCATATTTAATTGGTACTCATGCCCATTTTATCGTGCATATTCAATTCATGTTCTTCTCCAATTTACCGTAATTAGTTGTATATTCCTTAGTTTTCTGATACCTTCAATTTTCTTTAATTCATAAGTATTTCTTAATTCATCGTTCTTTAATTAGGTCACATATCTTCATTTTCACGAAAATTAGAGCAGTCCAGTTTATTAGTTTTTTCCTTTGGTAGTTGTATTTTTGCTCTAGGGAGAGTTAAGGTGTGTGAAATAAATCCCCCCCTTTGTTTTCCTAATTGCCCATAGCCATTTATCTTGGTAGTCTCTTCCACCTTTTATGCATTTTAGACCTTTAGTTGTTCTTATTGTTCTTTAATATGTAGATTAATTATACTATGCCTTCATATCTTAAAAATATACACAGAACTTTTTAAGGGTTGTTATATTCTGTTTAAGGAAAATTTTTAAGACATAAAGCCATCTGTATTGGATATAGGAAGAAGTCTTGAAGACAATTTGGAAGAGTAATCCCCAGCTCCATTAAAGTTCTTCTTTTGAGCTTCAGATTTATGATTTTATAGGCTACGGTTGAGTTGAAGAACTTCTCTCTTAAAGGTAAATTTTGCAAGTAATTGTATTTGACTTGAATGAATTATTTGATAATTTTCTGATTCTTTTGAGTATATGATGGAAGCTAAAGGATTGTTCTCTGTTTTCTATTATATAATACCTGTAAATATTTGCCCAATGTTGTCTTTGAAAGGGGGGACGGGGACATGGTTTGCATCTTTTGGTTCTTGCTATGGTAAAATATTTTCCATTTTCCAATGTGACTGGATTCTCTTCAGTGGAACACTATATAACTTTTGTAATAATCTCGAGTATTTCTTATCAAATTGAAAAACTGCATATTGGAAAATGTTGTGAAACAATTGATTTTTGTAATCCATATTCTAAATAATGTAGAGTTATCCATTACCTAGCATGTCTTGAATTATATTATTCAACTAATGTTGTTTTGCTAATCTAAAGGTTTGACTTATCCTAAGTAGTTTCATTATTTCTATCCTACCTTAAGAGTATTTGCGCTTAGTGTGTGAAATCGAGGGAGATCAAAGTATTCAATGTATATTGATATTTCATATTCAATGTTTTTAAGAATACATTCCTTAGCTTCTTACTCCGTATAATTTTTGTTGCTAACGAGCTTATGGAAAAGAAATACGAGGACATGATTGGTTTGGCGAGCTTTGAAATAAGCGATACATGCAAGAAAGTCACAATTAGCATTGGAATTCATCGTCTCCACTCAGGGGTCCAATCAAATAGGTATTTTTTTGTTGCAAGTTTTTTTTAATTATGACAGATTAGAAGATAGTTTTTTATGATATGGTTCTAAACAAAGTTTTTATAATGGTTGAAGTCTCTTCTCCACCTACTTAAGGAAACTCTAGAATTTCGGTCGATCCACTCTCTCAATTATGTTGTCTCTTCTTCAGGAAATGAAACTCTCGAAGATACCACTCTCTTAATTATGTTGTCTCTTCTCTTTTTATTAATTTGTTTGGTTTGAGAAATGTAGTTTAATTTATGTTGAATTGGATTGGCTATTTGGTACCTTTTTTGGATGCTTTTTTGCTTTGATAATGGTAGTTTTGGTTTCTGAGTTTTCATAAATGATGCTCCTTATGGCAATTGATGAATGAAACTTTACTCAGTGGGACTTTGTGTAGAATGAAGATTGTAACTAAACCCATTTGATCACACTGTATTTGCGTGTTGTTTGTTATATGATGATTATAGGATGACTGATGGGGATTGCTTTTGAGTTAAGTATTAGAATTTGTTGGGTTTTGGATGAAATTATGTTCATCTTCCAGGTAACATATGTTAAAATATGCTTTTCTTTGTTTGCATCTATGATCTTGAGAAGAGCAATGCCCAAACATACAAAGTGATGCAATCTGCAGAGACTGTTCTTGTGGACACCATTATGTTTGATTTTGCATCCAATCACAACAGCATTTCCAATACATGCATCTATAGGTTGAGAGTGCACAGATGAGACCCAAATCTGTGTCAATGCTACCATGAGTACAGTAAGGTTGCTTCACTTCTTCATTACTAATCTGTAGTTGGAACAAAGATGTGTGGGCAGTAGTAGTGTGGAGCTATTCCCATTTTTAAGATCAACAAGGAGAGGGTTCAGTCACGGGGGATTCATGACGATACTTATGATCTTCTGCTTCTGTAAGTTACATGAAGTAATGTTATATTCACTCTCTCACAAAAAAGATATTGAATGTCCAAACTCCTTACTATCACAAAAAAGATATTGAATGTTATATTCACTCTAACACTTGCTAATTCTCTTATCCATCATCATGGCAATATGGATCGCTCAACAACTCCATAAAAAAGATATTGAATGTCCAAACTCCTTACTATCACATTTTGATTTACTATTTATTGCTTTAGATCAAAGGGTAGTGGATTGAATATAAGAACTTTTCATAATAACTAATTGTGATGCATTTTTTGTTTGATATATTGAAGGAGGAATGCTTCTGATTATTGCTTGAGCACTTTAAAGTTAAAACAATAATACATCTATCAATACAGTCCATGCCAAAATGAAGTTTATAAGACAAGTACGTATGCATCTTATGCCAATTTGAGTCTATTAGAAACATCTCCATTTTATTGCTTCCAGAATATCTTTCTACTGACATTTTCTCTTCTTTATGTATGTTTTTTGTTAGTTGATGTGATACCATGAAGGTAGACCACCCTCAATCCAAGCCCAGCATAGCCATAAAGTGTTTTGGTATGGTGTAAATGTGAATTCTTTGTTTATTCCATGATTGAGATTGGAAAAAATCTAATCATCAAACATCCTTTATTCTTTTGGCTGTTAGGTGTGGCATCGGTATGCCCGATGTGGCTCTCCGTCCCATTTGGCACCACCGCCCCTGCCGTTTGGGAGTCGGTGTTAACGGCATCCTCATCTCGTGTGTCCCGATGTGTTTTTTGTTTTTGCAATTTTGTTTCTTTCTTTATCCGTCATCTCCATCTTCTTCTCCTCGTTGTTTTTCTTCTTTTGTTCCTCCGTTTCTTTTTCCTCATTCTAATTTTAGTTTTAGTTTTCATTTTTTAAATTTCCAGTTTTAGTTGCAATCAAATTTGAATTTTTTGCAAGGAGATCTGAATTTTATTCTTTAGCTATTGTTTAGCTATTCTACGTTTTATCTTTAGAAATCTGACATGTGCTTATATTAGGCGGCATATATTAAAGATAAAGATAAATGGAGATCTATCGGTTTGCCGTAAATTGTTTCTCAAATACCAAAAGCTTAGAAAAGGAAAATTTGGCCCTTATATAACTACTCCTTTTTTGCCATGGGTAGGTTTCCTCCTATCATGAACTGCCTTCGCATGATATCCCTTATTTTTTGCCCTAAATTCCTCAAGCTTTTTTTTTGTTGTATGATCTGCAATTCTGCATATACGACTAATTCTTCTTAGCTAAAATCATCTCCAATAGATCTCCATTTTTCTAGATTTGCAGCACTACATTTCTCCATCCTTTAATATAAATTTAATTTTAAGAGTTATTGTTTAGAATGATGACATGTGCCATTTGAAAGGTTTTATTTTACTGTCACATCAGTTTACACGCGTCTTCTTTTTTATACTCCCTCCGTTCCAATTTAAATTGCCTGTTTTGATTTTTGGGCATATTTAAGGAAAATAAAGAATAGAGTTGATTTTTCGAAATTACCATTAATTTTTAGAAGGGGTGATGATGAATGAGAAAATAAGGTGAAGAAGAGTGACTTATTTTAGGGGTAGTTTAGGTATTTTATTTTTAAAAGTTTACGAAAACAATTAACATGCAACTTATTTTGGGACGGAGAAAAAAGGCAAATAGGCAATTTAAAATGGGACGAAGGAAGTATAAAATACTATATATATGTAAATAAGACATTGACATGTTTATTTAGTAATTTATATTTTGTTTGATTTGTTAATCATGTTACAATGAAAAGAAAATACATAGTAAAAAAACATTCTTTTGAACCCGTGTGTGGCACGGGTCAAATACTAGTTTTTTTTAAAGAATTGAGACAAACTTGAATAGATATCTGAATGACTTACACGTGCCATGCATATTCACGCAACTTGTCTCCACGTGTCAGAATCCCAAGGCAACCACCGCCGCCGCCATTAAAAGACGCAAGTTTTTAAAGCCCGGCCGGCCGCCCTTCCAGTTTGTGTTCGTTCAAAATCACCAGAAAGAAGAAGAAGAAGAAATATAATATGCAGGCGCAAGAAGAGAGAAGCGGCGGGCAAAATGGAAGAGGAGAGGAAGACCAGCAGATTCCGTCAATGGCGTTGAACCACGTTTCCAGGCTGTGCAGAGATGTCGGGAAGTCTGTGGAGTTCTACACCAAGGTGTTGGGGTTGGTGGAGGTGGAGCGGCCGCCGGGGTTCGACTTCGACGGCGCCTGGCTCTTCAACTACGGCGTCGGCATTCATCTCATCCAAGCCAATCAAGGCGACAGAGAGCGACTCCCGGGTCACCACACAGATCAAGACCGCCATCTTGACCCCGTTGACAACCACATCTCTTTCCAAGTACAATATATATATACCCCTTGCCCCATTATTCTTTTAATAATAAAAAATATAAACAATGTAATCAGGGTATCTGTGTTATTCTGTTCGTAAAATTAATTGTTCCTATCCTCTAATTTTTTTTGAAAAACTTTCTAGCCGTATCCCTGACGTGACGCTCCTTCAGGCCACCTTCCAATTGCACCACCTTTCATTTTGGTCCAAAAATTGACCACAAAGTCAACGAAATGAAAAGTGGTGCAATTGAAGATGAGGATTGTTTAACATTGTTTTGTTTTTAAAGAGGTTATGAATACAAAAAAAAAATATGTCATCAACTAACTTCTTCTGAATCTGCTGAAAATTTTGATAAGTGTAGTGTGATGAGATGGAGAAGGTGGAGAGAAGGCTGAAGGAAGAGGGGGTGGAATACATGAAAAGAACGGTAGGGGAAGGAAACGCCATAGACCAGCTGTTCTTCAAAGACCCAGATGGATTCATGATCGAGATCTGCAACTGCGAAAAAGTGGCTTTAGTTCCTCAGAGATCTATGGGCAAGATCAAGCTTCCCTCTGACCGTCACAATCCTCCCCTTAAACCCAAAACTTGATTTATTTTCATTTGAGTGTATAACTCCATGTATGGTTTGATATTTAAAAAAAATATTTGCACTAAAAGCACTAAAACTTAAATTATTTCTCTAAATAGCACTTAAATTATTTTATTTTATAAACAGCACTTAATAATGTCCATAATGATCAGTGATGGCAAAAATTTATTTGAATAATGACTAATGGATAATGACTAAAAGTGCTTGATGGGAAATAATTCGTGGCTCGGCCCACATTTCTCAATTATTTACGAAAAACAGTCAAACCGGACCTGTTTAATAAAATAGAGGAATAAAAAGATATTCCTCCGAAGATGCTTCAGCTACTCCTATAAAAGGAGGGCTCTCCCTCAATGTTGGGAGAGGCCATTCTTACACTTATCTCCTGCCCAATTCACTCTCTCTCACTAGAATATTTATGTATTTCATTTCTTCAAAGAAGCTCCAAGCTTCCATTAATGGCTTCCGAGCTCATTTCATATATTGTGTACACACCCCCAATATTAATAAAAATCCCCCGTTGGCAAGGTACCGCCAAAAAAGGCCCGTGGTTCTCCCGATTTGGGTTTCCACGTCAAAATCCTCGTGTTTTTATTTTGGTGTATTTTTTAGAATAGTTTATCGTTTTTGCCGGGCAAAAACGATATACCGGTCGATAATTTACACTATAAGTGTTATATTGGAAAAAAACACATGTAGTGCTGTTTAGGAAAAAGGCATTATGTTCTAGTGCTATTAGAGGGTTGCTTTTGATTAGTCTAAAACGAGAAATCCTTAAAATATAATTTCAATCAAATTTGAATTTGAATTTCGTGTATCAAAAAGATCATAAGGCTCTGTTTGGTACGCGTTATCCAAACTATAGATGATATTAGAGACAATAATTCTAATTTTGCTATTTGGTATCACAAAATCATGTCGGTTAAGATTTGATATTGCAAAAAAAATGGAAATGGAGAATTTAATTTCATCGAAATCAATTTCATAAAATTTTAATTCCCAATTCAATTACAATCCCAGTTCAATTTCAATTCCTACAACTCCATTTAACAAATGGATCCTAAGTATTTTTGAATTTAAAATAATTCTCCCATTTTTAAATAAATATTTTCTCTTTTTTCTGGATAGGAAATGTATTTTTATTAATAAGGAACATCCCAAAAAATCGGGAGGCTTATGACGGATATATTAAAATGAGCCCAAATAAAGTGACTAAGGCCCGATACACACGATTAAATGCTAAGCCATTAAGGGCCCACCATATTCGTAGAAGGATGAAGCGCCCAAATGAAATGGATTGGGAAATCGCAATTCGAAAGTGAGGTCCAAATCTACCCGGTGGTGGGCCTCCCTATAAAATACGTAGTATGCAATTTTCTTCCGAATTGAATTTCTAAAAAATGAAGAGTTCGTATAGTTTTAGCTGTCCACACTCTTAATTTCTTATGACCTTTTTCCATTTCTTACATCATAGTTCCCGTGGATTAAAGCACATCACGTTTTATAAAAAAAAATGATCACACTCAAATATCAGATACTCAAATACATTAGAAATGATAAGACAAAGTATAAAGCTACCCTCATATAGTACATTGAATAAAGTACATAGGAATGGTTACCCTCATATATAATACTCCCTCTTTGCAGAAAACATAGGACTTTTCATTTTGAAAATGAATTTAAGAGAAGTGTATTTTGGTATTGAATTTCTAAAAATGTCCTTTGATGTGATGGGTAAAAATATGATTTGATGGTTAGATTATTAATTAATAAAAAGGTATGATGTGATAGGTAGGTATAAAAAGTAAGTGGTAAAAGTGACTTTTTTATAGAAATGAGAAGTGTTTTTTAAGACGAATGAAAAAAAGGAGAAAGGTTTTTAGGGACAGAGAGAGTATATCAGTGTATAAAGTACATTGAATTATAATTTGAATAAAATAATTGTTACTCCCCCCATTTTTTTAAATATCTTTTCTTTCATTTTTTCCTTCTATTAAAAAACTATTTTTACTACTACTCTTTTTAATTATATCTATCACATGAACATCATATTTTTTTGTTAATTATTCACCTATCATATCTTATTCTTACTCATGTCAAAATTGAAAACTTAACTACAAATATACATTTATTATTCTGTCCTAAAATCAAAATAGCAATGATTTTAAAATAGGTAAAGAGTAGAAAACTAATTATCTACTCCCTCCGTTCCTTTAAACACTTCCACTTTTGACTTTTGGCAAAAATAAGGAAAGTGTAATTTTGGTTGACTTTCCAATTTTGCCCCTGATGTGATGGGTAAAAGTAAGATATGATAGTTTGGTTATTAGGGAAAAAGTATGATGTGATAGGTAGGGTATGAAAAAGTAAGGGTAAAAGTGGTTTTTTAATAGAAAGTGGAAGTGTTTTAGGGAATTCAAAAAAAACGAAAGGGGAAGGGTTTTGTGGAACGGAAGGAGTATATTCTAAGAATGTACTCGGGAGTAAGGTACTATGTATAGAAATATATTTATCCATATTCTATCAATGAATACGTAAATTTATCATAAATGATTTTCTAATGAAATACTCCGTAGTTGTTAGCAATTCAGATATACTGTCCGTATTAGTGTATTACCGAATTTATAGTTATTATGAAATGTGAAATTTGCAATGAATAGAATTAAAACATAAGTCATTTTCCAATGTAGGATTTAAACTTTTTTATTTCATAAATAAGACTTAATAATGTCTAATGAGAAGATAATGTTCAAGTAATGTTGGATATTTAGTTGAATAATGACTAATAGATAATAACCAATGGTCCAACATTGAAAAATAAAAATATATTGTCATATATAGAAAAAGTTATTATTTTTTAGTATTATTTAGGTAAATTACCCTTATGAAATTATCCAAATTAATTTGTGAAATTGAAATTTTTATCCTAATAGTATAATTTTTTAAAAAAGCTATACAAATCAAGGCTTATATAATTTGTAAATACAGATACGGTGAAAATACAATAACATTATAGACTTATATAAAAAATTTTCAAACACCTAAAAATGTTTTTTTATCAGTGGTTCTTCCAAATGGGTGGTAAAGAAGCACATATCGGCCGTCTACATGTATTTTTCTCATAAATACTTGTTCGAGTTCATTTACATTTCAACATATTTATTTTAAATACTCTCTCCGTCCCTGAGTGTTTGTCCCGGAAAATATGGGAGTTTCGATTTTGAAGACAGATTTAAGGGGAGTATATTTTGGTGTTGAATTTCTAAAAATATCCTTTGAAGTGATGGATAAAAGTATGATTTGATGGATAGATTATTAGTAAAAAGGTATGATGTGATAAGTATGGTATGGAAAAATAAGGGGTAAAAGTGACTTTTTATTAAAAATGAGAAATATTTTTTGGGATGGATGAAAAAAGAAAGGAGAAATATTTTCATGGACGAAGGGAGTACAATATAATAAGGTGAATAAAGTAAAGAGAAATTTACCTAAATAGGACTAAAACATAATGACTTTCTCAATATAGGACCATATGTTTTTATTTCCCAATGTAGAACCTTTGGTCATTATCACGAAGTCATTATTCAACTAAATGTGCATCATTGCTGGACATTATTTCTTCCACTAGGTCATTATTAAGTCCTATTTATGGAATAAAAAAGTTTAAGTCCTACATTAGGAAAGTCATTATGTTTTAGTCCTATTTAGTGAGTAATTTACATAAATAGGACTAGAACATAATGACTTTTCCAATATAGGACCAAATGTTTTTATTTCCCAATGTAGGAGTTTTGGTCATTATAAATTAGTCATTATTTAAGTAAATGTCCATCATTACTGGACATTATTTCTCCCACGGGGTCATTATTAAGTTCTATTTAGGAAATAAAAAAGTTTAAGTCCTAGATTAGGAAAGTCATTATGTTTTAGTCTTATTTAGCGCAAATTTCACATAAAGTAATGAATATACAACTATTAATAACTCTCTTAATTGCACTCTAAACAAATTCTAACAAAATAACTTTATTAACAACTTTTTTTTAGAATTCTTAAAGTTAAAATGCTACCAATTATAGGAGAAGGGGAGAGCATAAATTCTCATATTCTCCCACTTCATCATCATAAATCATCCATCTCTTCTTATAACTGTTCGAATTAACAACACCCTGACAAAAATGCCCCACGAAATGCAGAAGGAGAAGCTCCTCATCGTCATGGGAGCCACCGGAGCCGGAAAATCGAGACTCGCCATGGACCTCGCCGCCCTCTTCTCCGGCGAGGTCATCAAGTCTCCGACAAAATGCCGGTATACCGTGGCTTCGACGTCCTCACCAACAAGGTCACCGACGAGGAGCGCCGCAACGTCCCCCACCACCTCATCGGGGTCGTCGACCCCACAGAGGACTTCATTGCGAAGGACTTCTGTAGGGCCGCGACCCAGACCATCGGGTCGATCACCGCGAAAGGCCACCTCCCGATCATCGCGGGCGGGTCCAACTCGTTCGTCGAGGCCCTCATGGACGACCCGGAGTGCCGGTTGGGGTCCACGTACGACGTCTGCTTCCTCTGGGTCGGCGTGTCGATGCCCGTGCTCCACTCCTTCGTGCCCAGGCGGCTGGAGAAGATGGTGGAGCAGGGGACGGTCGACGAGGCCAGGGCCGCATTCGACGCGGAGAATGCGGACTACTCCACCGGCATCAGGAAGTCGATCGGCGTCGGGGAGTTCCACCGCTACTTCCAGGCGGAGGCCACGGCGGACGCCGCCACGCAAGCCGCCTTGCTCAAAGAGGCGCTCGACGAGGTGACGGTCAATGCGTGCGCCTTGGTGACTCGGCAGCTGGAGAATATAAAACGACTGCGGGACGTGCGGGGGTGGAAGTTGCACCGGGTCGAGGCCACGGAAGTTATCCGGATGATGGCGGCGGGCGGCGGCGGCGGCAGCAAGGTAGAGGAAATGTGGGTGAATGAGGTGGTGGGTCCCAGCGCCACCATCGTGACGAGATTCTTACACAATAGTTTTGCGGCGGAGTGATGCATGGGCGTGGCGGCGGCCGAAGCCTTTCTCCTCACTATTATTTTATGTGTTTATCATGTGAGACAGCCATTTTTTGGGGACGGGAGCAAAGAAGTTGAGAAGGTAAGGGATACAAAAGTATTATGAATGATATAAGTATTAGAAAATAAATTTTTGCCCTAAGAAAATAATAAATTATTATTATTGTTTTATTTTTAATTAAGATTCTCCATGCATACTTTATACTCCCTCCGTTTCTTAAAACTATTCTTCTTTCACTTTTTTTGTGTTTCTTAAAACACTTCTTTTTTCTATTAAAAAATCACTTTTACTCCTACTTTTTCATATCCTACCTATGACATCATACTTTTTCTCTAAAACTAAACTATCACATCTTACTTTTACTCATCACATCAGGGGCAAAATTGGAAAGTCAACTAAAATTACACTTTTCTTATTTTGCCACAAAGTCAAAGCAAGAACCGTTTTAAGAAACGGAGGGAGTATATATGAACGAAAATTTCATTATTCAACAAGATCAAATTTTGTGACACAGCCATTCAATGATTTTGTGATACAGTAATTCATATTGATACTTTACATAAGTTCCAAAATTGTGATGATTTTTAAGTAGAAATATTTGCACTAAATAGCACTAAAACTTAAGTTATGTTTATAAATAACACTTAAATTGTTTTATTCTCTAAATAGCACTTAATAATGTCCAAAATGTTCAGTGATGACGAATATTTACTTTAATAATGACTAATGCATAATGACTAAAAGTGCTACATTGGGAAGAAAAACACATGTGGTGCTATTTAGCGAAAATCATTATGTTTTAGTGATATTTTAGTAAATTCCCCTTTTAAGTATCTTATGTGGCATAAAAAACTAAAAAAAGTCATTACTTGCCCCTCTTTTTGTAGTGGTACATAGTCTATATATACTCTCTTCGTCTGAAAAAATCTTTCACGTTTCAAAACAACGTGTCCCCAAAAATGTTTCCTATTTCTATTAAAAAATAACTTTTATCTCTTATTTTTTCATATCATAATTGTTACATCATACCTTTTTTCTAGTAATTTACAAATCACATCCTACTTTATCCATCAAATCAAAATTATTTTTGGAAAATCAACACAAAATTATCTCTCCATTATTTTACCACTTTAGTCAATATATCCATATCCTTATGAGACGAAGGGAGTATAATGCAAAGGTGTTTCTTTGCGATGCTAAGTAATTTCTCTATTTCACAATAGTTGTCTATTAAGATTCATTAAATACATTAATTCAAATAATGTATCTATTAATTCTCAATAGACACTTATTGTGAAATAGGAGGATATGATACACTATATGTTTGGAAGAATGGCCAATTCGCCATTAAAGTTGAGATTAAGGCTACGTCTTCTTTGGCTGATCTGATTTCAACTAAATTTTTTTAATAAATAGGAGGATATGAACCAAATTAAATAAATCTAATCTGATCTGAATTATTTTGTTCTGATCAAATAGAATAAGTAGTAGAATTAAGTTGAAGAGAACGTGACTTAATTATATTTAATTAGGTTCGTGTGGAGGTGAATAATATATTAAGCTCTTGGGCTTGGGGTTTAGCAATTGAGTTATTCAGCTCTTGGGCTGGGCCGATCTTAGCTTGAATACTACTCCGTACGTAGGAATGGTCGGATATTTTAATTGTCATTGACCGAATGGTTGACCCGATTCTACAAATTTGGCCGATTAACTCTTCACTGAGTTGTTTCTCAAAATTGGGCTGGGAAGAAAGAACAAAGACATTTTGGTGAATAAAAACAAGGAACTTGGGAAATCAAAAGTGGAAATAAATTAATCCATTTGGGAAAAAGAACAATATATAGAGTTCTCCCCACAAGTGAGAGGTAAATCAAATCAAATATAGTAGCCTCAGCTCATATTTTACTTAATAGAGAATGTCATGCACTTGTTTAATACTTACTTCATTCTATTTGTCCATTTTTTATTTTTTTCAATAAAAAATTGTAACTTTTGAGTTCAAATTAAATAAAAAATAATATTAGATATTGATACAAAAATAGTTTTATTAGATTTAATATATCAAATATTTTCAAAATGTTATTTTATCTAATTAATATATATACAATATATATTTTACTTCATTATAGCTCAAAGGTTGAAAGTAGTTAACCGGAAAAAGACAAAACTGAACAATATGGAGGTAGTACTTAAATTAAACTTTGAAATTTTTTTTACTACTGTTTAAGTAAATTGGATTAAAAATTAATCCCGACAAACTTTATTACCTTTAATAAGAAAATCAATTCAAGACTTAGGGAGTCTATGGGCCAGTTTGGAAATAGCGTTTTCGATTAGCGTTAGCGTTTTGCACAATTCAACATATTTAATTTAAATACAGTATTAAGGTGAATAAAGTTATTACCTTGTAGATAATTAAAGAGAAGATGATAGTATTATACAAAAGTGAAATTTGCACTGAATAGGACTAAAACATAAGTCATTTCCCAATGTAGGACTTAAAATTTTAGATTCCCTAAATAAGACTTAATAATGACTAGTGAGAAGAATAATGTCCAAGTGATGGTGGACATTTAGTTGAATAATGATTAATAGATAATGACCAATGGTCCTACATTGGAAAATAAAATAAAGATATGGTCCTATTTCGAGAAAGTCATTATATACTCTCTCCGTTCCGAAATAAACTTCTTCTTTCGTTTTTTCTTTGTCCCCAAATAAACTTCTCTTTTCCCTTAAAAAACCCCTTTTACCCCTTACTTTTTCATACCCTACCTATCACATCATACCTTTTTACTACTCCCTCCGTCCCAAAAAGATTTACACGTTTCAAAAAAATTGTGTCCCACAATTCCTTACCCATTTCTATCAAAAAATCACTTTTACCCCTTACTTTTTCAAACCCTAACTATCACATCATACCTTTTTCCTAATAATCTACACATCACATCCTACTTTTATCCATCACATCAAGGGTATTTTTGGAAAGTCAACACAAAATTATCCATCCCTTAATTTCAACTTTAGTCAAAATGGGTAAAACTTTATGGGACGGAGGGAGTAATAATCTACCTATCACATCTTACTTTTACACATCACATTAAGGGCATTTTTGGAAAGTCAACACAAAAATATCTCTTCCTTAAATCTTCAAAAAGTCAAAAATGGAAGTTTATTTAGGGACGGAGGGAGTATGTTTTAGTCCTATTTAGGTAAATAAACCAAACATCAAATTTTTTAGTTTAGTAATGATTAATGAATACTCCGTATATAGCTATTAATAACTCTCTTAATTGCACTCTAAACAAATTCAAACCAAATAACTTTATTAACAACTTTTTTTTAGAATTCTTAAAGTTAAAATGCTACCAATTGCTTTCTAAAAAAATGCTACCAATTATAGGAGAAGGGGAGAGCATAAATACTCATATTCTCCCACATCATCATCATAAATTATCCATCTCTTCTTATAACTATTCGAATAAACAACACCCGGACGAAAATGCCCCAAGAAATGCAGAAGGAGAAGCTCCTCATCGTCTTGGGAGCCAAATTTTGTTCCTGATTCCTATTTAAATATAGTTATTTGAATTCACATTATTCAAATACAAATTCAAATATTACTTTTGATTCGAATATTAAACAAATACAAATACAAATATGAATATATTCAATTTGGATGATATTCAAATATTCAAATATATGTATATACACACAGAGCATGTTTTCAACATCAATAGTCAAGCAATTTAATATAGTATAAAATGTATTTAAATTACTAAGTATTTAACAAATTAACGTAACACAAAAATCTAAAACACGTGATTTTTAACAGTTATATTTTATAAACTACTACCTCCGTCCCGTGAAACATGGGACATTTGCTTTTTAGGAGGGATTTAAGGGAGTGTATTTTGGTATTGAATTTCCAAAAATGTCCTTTGATGTGATGGGTAAAAGTATGATTTGATGGCCGGATAGATTATTAGTAAAAAGGTATGATGTGATAGTTAGGGTATGAAAAAGTAAGGGGTAAAAGTGACTTTTTGATAGAAATGAGAAGTGTTTTGTGGGACGGATAAAAAAAGAAAGGTGAAATGTTTCACGGGACGGAGGTAGTTTAATTTGTGTAAGATAAATGTATTAATGTTTTTAGAGATACAGAGTACAGTATAGTATAAGGAGTATCAGAAGTTGAATTATTCAAAATCGATGTTGGTCCATCATATAAATTACAGAGTATGATTGTTCAAATATTCGTTTAGGATTCGTTAACTATTCGAATATTAATCGAATACAAATTTAAATGTTATTTTTAATTCGTCTCATATTCGGATTCGGATTTGTATTCGAAAAAATAAAACAAATACAAATTCAAAAAAATTCAACTATCTCAATATTCGATTCGATTTGGTTCGTTTACACCCCTAATCACATCAATGACAAAATTGGAAAGTTAACCATAAATATACACTCCTTATTTTTCCTAAAAATCAAAATAGGAACCGTTTTATGAAAAAAAAGAAATATTTTTTTAATATTAAAAAAGAAAATAATTCAACTCTTAAATTAGGGTTCATCACAGATATCAAAAATGGGAGGGTAATACTATTTCAGGGAGAAAGTGTTGGGAAAAAGAGGGGAAAGGAAGAGGAAAGCAGAGCTTCTGGGTTTGGTCCAATCATTAGATCTTCAATTCGCCCAGCCCAACCTGTGGGGAACCCAAAGGCACTCTGCGGGTGATGGTGTCACATGACCCATCCAAAACTCTCTTTCTTACCAAACTCTCATTTGGGCCCACACAGCCATGCCTATGTATCAATTCAGCACGTTGCCGGGCCCCCCTTTTTCCATGTACCCAAATCTTGTTAAAAAGCTGCCATTACCCCACTCCCCGGCGGCCCAAAAGTGCAATCTAATTCTAGGTCTATTCTCTCGGGCCCACACATAAAGATCATTTTGTCCTCATTTGTAACTTTCCAAACAAGGAAATACACTAGAAGCTCCTGAGAGCGCAATTCAACTGTTGGTATAAGAGTGTAAAGAGTACTTACAATGGAGGCTATTCTCCACTTGTCCCAACTTTTACCACATTACCAATTCACTAATTATCAGTCCCGACCTAAAATCTTACTCCATCCTTTCCACAAAACCCTTCCGGTTTTGACTTTGGGGAAAAATAATGAAAGTGAAATTTTGGTTGACTTTCCAATTTTGCCCCGATGGGAAAAAATAAGATGTGATAGTTTGGTTATTAGTGAAAAAGTATGATATGATAGGTAGGGTATGAAAAAGTAGGGGTAAAAGTGGTTTTTAATAGAAAGTGGAAGTATTTTGTGGAAAGCAAAAGAACGAAAGAGGAAGAGTTTTGTGGAACGGAGGGAGTACAATATTGTCGCCTTAAAAAGCCGCCTCTATGTTTTTTTTACATTTGTTAAAGAGTATCCCACATCAAATTTAAAGAAAAAATAAATTGTTATATAATCTCCTGGAGTTAATTGCACCAATACCCTCTGTGGTTTAGTAAATGTGCACCATTAATTCAATGGTTAGTATATGAGTGTTAAGAGCATTAACAGTGGAAGCAATTCTCGACCTGTCCCAACTCCTGCCACATCAATGCTCCACTAATTTTCATCTCCGCCCTAAAGTCCCGCAATGCTATCACCTTAAATAGCCTGCCTAGCCGCCTCTTCGTTTTTTGTATTGTTCATTATTTTTATTTGAAAACTTAAATAATTTAATAAAAAATTTATTTCTTAATACAATTAGATCAAAATCAAATAAAAAGTTATTCCGTAAAAAATGCCAATGGTTGAAGCCCAAAAAAATGAATCAAGAAGAACAACCCAACAGAATTTAAAAAAATCCAAGAACAAGAATCTGAAAATAAATCTCTCTTATCCATGGCCAAATCAATCAAGAAAGAAGAAGAAATAGCCCAAAAAAATAAAAAAAATACTGTAATAATTTCCGACGCCACAGGGTATTGCAGTGGACGTCCCCCGCAGCTTTCACCCGGAATTGGAGCTCGGCTTTGCGCCGCACGGCTTGCAATCGGTTCCTGCCACTCGTTGTTCCTCTCCTGGCGCGGCTATTTCACGCCCTCCATTGTAAGTGCCATAGACAGAGAGATTTCGTGTTTGAAACCTAGTGATTGCGATGAAGGACAAACATGTACGCCGCATGTAGCTTATGCAAGTACCAGATGTATAAATCTCAACCGTGCATTGCTCGAAGTAAATAAGATTATAGTTCAATTTATCTTCTCTCAGCTAATTGTCTGGCCAGTGTTGTGGTCCCGCGAAGATTGGAGTTCATCCTTTTATTTTGGAAATACACTACAATATTATTTCCTTCGTTCCAAAATAATTTTTTACTACCTCCGTCTCGTGAAACATGGGACATTTGCTTTTTAGGAGGGATTTAAGGGAGTGTATTTTGGTATTGAATTTCCAAAAATGTCCTTTGATGTGATGGGTAAAAGTATGATTTGATGGATAGATTATTAGTAAAAAGGTATTATGTGATAGTTAGGGTATGAAAAAGTAAGGGGTAAAAGTGACTTTTTAATAGAAATGGGAAGTGTTTTGTGGGACGGATAAAAAAAGAAAGGTGAAATGTTTCACGGGACGGAGGTAGTATTTTTTTATTTTTTGGATTGTCGCAAAATAAATTTTGTATTCCTTATTTAAAAAAAATTTCCTAAAAACATGTAGTAGAATTTACAAGGATATCTGATGCATTTTTAATGTTCAGGATAAACCATATAATTTACAAAGAATTTTAAGGTAAAGGGTGCACTTTTCCCTATTAATAAAAGCATACTTCAAAAATTAATATTTACTCCCTCCGTCCTCAATTAGATTACAATTTTTTTCTCTCCTTTCAATAACTTTTGTTTGTTTATGCTATTTCATTAAGTATTTTATAAAATAAAATACTCTTGACACCTCTTGTTTCGTAGAACTTTTGACATAGTTTTTTACTCCCTCTGTCCACTATAGATCTTTCCAAACACTATTCACAGGGTCAAACTTAACTCATAACTCACTTTGTTTGCTTATTTTAACCACTCATTACATAAAATAAAATAGTATTGTCAGTTCTAGTTTTGTAGAACTTTTCATTACTTTTTTACTATATAAATTTTGTTTTTAAATTTTATCTTTAAGATCAAATAAATTGAATTGAAAATAAACTCGGTCAAACATCGTAACGCGCAATGAGGAAATCTTTGGTGGACGCAGGGAATAATATTTAATTTTTATTTCTTATCGTCGATTTAGAAATAAAACAATTTCAAAAGCTGAGATAGTACTTCAAAAGTGAGGAATACGGAGGGAGGGAGTATTAAAAAACTGAAAAAAGACAAATCGAGTAACTCGAATGATTATTTTTATGTACTCTCCGGATTAAATATAGCCGTCATATCTAAGCCCAGTGGTAGGAAAGTGAAGTGTAGGGCCCTTTACTCCAACCCACACTGCCTATAAATAACTCATTTCTATCCCTACCCATTTCCATAACTCATTCCTCCAAACAAAAAAAAAACAAACACCTATCTAGAGAGAGAAAATACTCATCCATCTCTTTCTTTTTCCCTATTTACTAAAAAGCCAAACCCTAATTTTTTTTTTAAAAAAAAAAAGATGATGATGAGCAGCATCAGATCCGCAGTGTCCACTCTCATGCCCAAACAAAAACTCCCAAACTCATTCCAGTCTTACCTCCACAGCTCCGGCGGCTTCAACCTCGGAATCCTCCACCCTCATCACAACCCCCACAAAGACAAGCTCCTCGTCGTCTTGGGTACCACCGGCGCCGGCAAATCTAGGCTCTCCATCGACCTCGCCTCCCGCTTCTCCGGCGAGATCATCAACTCCGACAAAATGCAGGTCTACCGCGGCCTCGACGTCCTCACCAACAAGGTCACCAACGACGAGCGCCGCCACGTCCCCCACCACCTCCTCGGCGTCGTCGACCCGAAAAAGAATTTCACCGCTAAGAACTTCTGCTTCGCCGCGACGGAGACGATCAAGTCGATCACCGCCCGGGGTAACCTCCCGATCATCGCCGGCGGCTCGAACTCCTTCATCGAGGCTCTCATGGATGACAAGGACTGCCGGTTGAGGTCCACCTACGACGTCTGTTTCCTCTGGGTCGACGTGTCCATGCCGGTTCTCCACTCCTTCGTGTCGGACCGGGTGGATAAAATGGTCGACCACGGGTTGGTCGAGGAGGCCAGGTCGGCATTCGACCCAAAGAATGGGGACTACTCCACCGGCATCCGGAAGTCGATCGGCGTCCCGGAGTTCCACCGCTACTTCCAAGCGGAGCCCACGGCGGATGCCGACACCCGGGCCGCCCTCCTCAACGAGGCAATCGACGAGGTGAAGGTGAACACGTGCGTCTTGTCGAGCCAACAATTGCAAAAGATTAAACGATTGCGGGACGTGCGGGGGTGGAAGTTGCACCGCGTCGACGCCACGGAGGTGTCCCGGATGAAGGCGGCCGGGGGCGGCAAGGACAAGAAAATGTGGGAGAGTCAGGTGGTGGCGCCGAGCGCCACCATCGTGACGAGATTCCTCCACGATAAGTTAAGGTCGCCGATCTATGCGGATGCCGCCATCCCCAGCAAACCGCTCGCCGGAGTAATGGGCCTAACGGCGGCGATTCACTGACACTTCAACTGCAATATATTCATTCATTTATTCATTTAATTTGTCTGGCAAAGGCCTATAGATTTCAACAAGCCACCCGCCGCCGTACATTTTGTATCTCCTCTCTGTACGTTTCATTTGTACATGATGTGACACCGCCATTTTTGGAGAGGGTAATGATAAAACTGTGGTGTGCTCGCCAAACGTTATTTTCAATATTTTGTTAATTCGAATTTTATCCTCATTCTTCGTCTAATAATAATAATAATAATAACAATAATAATAATAATAATAATAATAATAATAATAATAATAATAATAATAATAATAATAATAATAATAATAATAATAATAATAATACGGAGTATAACTATAAATTGATTAAATAAAGTTTCCTATTATATTTTTTTGAATGAGGAAAAGTTTTTTACTCTAAATTTTACCCCCTCCACACCAAAATGATATTCCATATTTGATATTTCAATGGCTTGCAAAATCCTGTGATTTTTAAAATTCATTTTATTTACAGGAGGTGACACGAATGACAAATCTTTTATTTTATCAAACGATCAATGAAAAAATGCCAATAAACAAAATTTATAAAGAGATCATAAAAGTACATATCTGAATGGTCATTTTGGGAATGAAGGAGGGTGTAAACATAATTTATGGTCAAAATTTTAAAATATTGACTATAACACATTTTAAAGAAATACATGTAACAAAAATTTTAAAATCATAAAGAGGATTAGAAATTAATTATATCCAAATTCTAATAATTTACTTAAACTCTATAATAATAACTAAAATTTATTGCAAGGACAACCATTTTTAATAAATTGTGATATTAGATAATTTTTTATTTTATAGAGATAATAATTATTAACAAAATTAGTAGATCCTTCAAAAAAACAAAATCAGTAGTAATAATAATAATAAGAATAAAATTCGTAAAGAAACTTTCATTTTGTGTAATTTGGCAAACATTTTGGGAAACATTGGTAAATATTTTGTTTTAGTCAACATTTATAACACTAAATATGCTACCAAATTGTCCCTTATTTGTTTGATATAAATTCATTTTTTTATTTAAAAAACGTTCCAACAAAACACTTCTCATAATTAGCTTTTTACGTAATTAAGTAGTAACGCGTTTGAGATTTTCCCTAAAAAAATATACTTTGAGAAAATGAACTTTAATACCGTATTTTGAACAAAAGCAGTATAAATGTCATTAGCAAAGCAAATTAGGGTTTATGTTCATCATATGATAGAGGAAACGAAGACGCTAAGGGGAATTAGATTTCAGGAAGAAAGTGTTGGGAAAAAGAGGGGAAAGACGAAAGCAGCTTCTGGTTGGTTAATCATTAGATCTTCAGTTCATCCGTCAGGGGGGCCGGGTACCCAAAGGCACTGTGTGGATGATGGTGTCACGTGACGGATGGAAAACTCTTTTACAAAAGTACAAAACTATACTACCCAAAGTCTCTATGGGGCCCTACAGACCCAATGACGTACCTCTAATTTATGGGAGACTGCTCTTTGTTGTGGCTGGTTTATTCGTGGTTTGAGATAATAAATTTTTTTAATTATCAATTAAATAAAAATTTCACTTTCTAACACTTCTACGTCTTTTAATATTTATCCACTTTTGCCTTTTTCTTGTCAAAATTAATAAATTTTGATATCAAACTAAATAAGAATGATTCTCCCCGTCTCAAAAGTCTTTCACGTTTCAAAATAATGGTGTTTCACAATTTTCTTACCCTTTACTTTTTCATACCATACCTATCACATCATACTTTTTTTCTAATAATTTACACATTACATCCTACTTTTACACAACACATCAAGGATATTTTTAGAAATTCAACACAAAATTATCTCTCCCTTATTTTGCCACTTTAGTCAAATGTCTCTCTTTTTCTAGGACAGAGGGAATATTAGATATTCATACAAAAATAGTTTTATTAGATTTATTCAAATATTTGTTTTGGCTGGTTTTATTTATTTATTTATTTATTGAACAATTTTTAAAAGATTATAAAACAATCATACTATATAATTGTGTTTTTTTCTAAAAACTCAAAAGCTTTATTGAAAAAATACAGAAATATATAATATTATGCGCGAATTTAATAAAAACAAGTTTAATACTTCAATTGGATGAGTTATGTGCTAGAACCCCAAGGTGTTTGGGTTCAACTCCCACCTAGAACACTTCTTTTTTTTAAAATATGATAAACAAGATTAGGAGTTTAGGACTATAAAATATACTCCCTCCGTCCATTAAAGAACTTCCCGGTTTGACCCGGCACGCATATTAATGTGTGATTAAAATGCTTTGACTTTCGTATTATACCCCCAACCTCAACATCTCCCCAAGTCTGGACGACTCTCCCTTCCGTCACTGCCGACTCGCTCCCACAACACAGTGGGTGACCTCTTCGGCTCTTACTCCCATCCCCTCAGTACCCCCAACCCCGTAGATCGATTTTGGATCTTTTTGTTGAAGACAACTTGGGCAAAGAAGAATATGTTGCATCCGAGGTTTTGACGGGGAGAGTCGGGGTTAGGAGCAACATGGATTTGTAGATCTATGGAATTGATGACTGCGATGTGGGAAGAAGAGCATATTTGATCGCTGCGTCACCTCCGACCACCGCCTCTTTGCTCCGGCGTTACCCCAACCGCAGTTTCACTACACCCAATCAGTTGATGACAGAACAAAATAAGAAGGGGGAGGAAGAAAAGAAAGAAGAAGAAGAAGAAAGAAAAAAAGAAAGGTAGAAGAAAAGGAAATAAGAAAGGGAGAAGACGATAAGAAAGAAGAGGAGGAATGGGTGGTGGCAGACTGGCAGGTGGACCGGCAGTGAAGAAGGAAAAGAAAAGATATGGAATGGGTGAGGGAGGGTAATTCAGTCTTTTCAATATAAAAATATTTCCTAGAAAGGAAATGGGAAGATAATTTCTGGACGGACGAAAAAGGAAAGTAGGAAGATAATTTATGGACGGAGGGAGTATAAACAATGGGCCCCTTAAAAAATAGGCCCGGACCAGTAGGACTGATCCGCCCACCCTCAGTTCGGCCCTGCCACAAACCAAAAAGAAAATTAGTCGAGATAATTAATTTGAGACGGAGGGAACATTCTGGAAAGAAAAAAAGTGCACTTTTCAATTTACGTAAAACATTAGTGTTATATATAGTCATATTGGGGTAATTTTCTAATGGGTCGTATATTTAGGATACACTTTTTAATTGAAAATTAATGTAAATTGAAATATACATTTGGTGTATCCATAATATTTTTGTTTTCTAATATATTGATATGAGTTCAACTTGATTCTTAATTAAATCGGTTGTTTGGTACTCTTTCCATCCTAAAATGTTCGTCCCAGTTACTATTCACATGGTCAAAGTTTAATCACTTTCTATATCTATTTTTGTTACTTATTTGATAAAATAATATAGTCTTGTCACCTCTTATTTTGTAGAATTTTTCATGTAGTTATTAAATAATATAGTCTTGTCACCTCTTATTTTGTAGAATTTTTCATGCAGTTACTATTAAATTTTATATCTACAATCAAATAAATTGAATTAAAAATAAAGCTAGTCAAAACTCGTAAACAGAAACGGAAACAACATTTTAAGACGGAGGGAGTATAAGAGTTGATTGAGTATTTTCGATTATAGCGTTTTGAAAATAGAGAAACAAATTAACAAAGAGTAATTAATTGTATCCGAACCAATTTAATTTTTTTAAACAATAAAGAAAATGTTTAAATTACAAATTAAGAAATACTGTATTTTTTTTATTTTAAATGTAAAATGAAAATGTTAAACCCTTAAAAAAATCAATTATACTCCGTATGTGTTTGTGTGTATTGAATATAGTGCATCACTTTTCGTAGAAAGCTCAAAGTTTTGGTGGGGAAGGGAGAATCTATTTTTACAGAAATTATATTTATGGATTATTGTAAAATATCCCTCCGTACCTTTCAAAAAAAAAAACCCCTCCGATCCGCATAATATAGTGAATTCGTCGCATCTAGGAAAGTGAAGTGTAGGGCCTATCTTAACTCACTCCACTCCACTCCACAACTATAAATACTCATTTCATCATTGTCACAACCCATCCCTCTCGTCTTCAAACAAATCAAAACAAAACCTATCTAGTGAGAGAAAGAGAAAAATACCCTTTTTTTTCTCTATCTATTCACCAAAAGCAAAACCCTAAAAATGATGAGCAGCATCAGATCTGCAGTGTCCACTCTCCTGCCCAAACAAAAACTGCCAAACTCATTCCAGTCTTACCTCCACAGCTCCGGCGGCTTCAACTTCGGAATCCTCCAACCTCATTATTACCCCCAGAAGGACAAGCTCCTCGTCGTCTTGGGTACCACCGGCGCCGGCAAATCTAGACTCTCCATCGACCTCGCCACCCGCTTCTCCGGCGAGATCATCAACTCCGACAAAATGCAGGTCTACCGCGGCCTCGACGTCCTCACCAACAAGGTCACCGACCACGAGCGCCGCCACGTCCCCCACCACCTCCTCGGCGTCGTCGACCCGAAAAAGAATTTCACCGCTAAGAACTTCTGCTTCGCCGCGACGGAGACGATCAAGTCGATCACCGCCCGGGGCCACCTCCCGATCATCGCCGGCGGCTCCAACTCATTCATTGAGGCTCTCATGGATGACAAGGACTGCCGGTTGAGGTCCACGTACGACGTCTGCTTCCTCTGGGTCGACGTGTCCATGCCGGTACTCCACTCATTCGTGTCGGACCGGGTGGACAAGATGGTCGACCGGGGGTTGGTCGAGGAGGCCCGGTCGGCCTTCGACCCAAAGAATGGGAACTACTCCACCGGCATCAGGAAGTCGATCGGCGTCCCTGAGTTCCACCGCTACTTCCAAGCCGAGCCCACGGTTGATGCCGAGACACGCGCCGCCCTACTCAAAGAGGCAATCGACGAGGTGAAGGTGAACACGTGCGTCTTGTCGAATCGGCAGTTGGAGAAAATAAAACGTCTGCGGGACGTGCGGGGTTGGAAGTTGCACCGGGTCGACGCCACCGAGGTGTCCCGGATGAAGGCGGCCGGCGGCGGCAAGGACAAGGAAATGTGGGAGAATCAGGTGGTGCGGCCCAGTGCCACCGTCGTGACGAGATTCCTTCACAATAGGTTTGGGTCGC